AAAACGTAAACAAAACAAAACAAATGTTGCCACGAAATGGCGAAAAAGAAATACAGCCAAAATTTGGGAGTCACGTAAGAGAATTATATATAATAGATATTTTGAGAAATGCTTTGTTGTTGTTGTCGTGTCTATGCATACAGTGCTAGTGCAAAGATTAGAGTCCTCCAAAAGTCTTGATAACAAGATTGAGAAATGCTTTGAAAGAAATATTAATATAAATGTTTTTTTTACTATTTAAAAATTTTAATTTTGAACAAAATTGTCTCATGTTATAAAAAGTGGTCACTGTTAAAATTGCTACAATCGGTCACTGGCCAGTTGCAAAATTTCTTAGTTTTGCCATATAAGGAACAACTAACTTTATAAATTTTTTTTTTAGAAGCTTGTGTGAGAAAATACAACTAAAAACTGTTTAAAATTTTAGGAGCTAAAATTGCTTTTGCTACTCATTACCATTTGCAAGCAACACTTTGCAGACAAAGGTCAGTTCTCACTACTGCTTGCTTTCAGCTTCGGCGCCAATTAATTAAGTGTTGTGATGTAAATAGTTTTTTTTTTCTCTTTCTCCATAGATTTTAAAAATTTTTTCAAAGAAAATAAAAAAATTCATTAAAACAGGACAATTTTAATTTTTATTATAACATGCAACATTAAATATGTTGCTTAAATATTTTTTAAAAATGCTTGTTCATTTTTTTTACTAATAATTTTTTTTCACTATCTCATTTCCTTTGGGATGGTGGGATCTGCCATTTTGGGGGATACTGGAGTAGAAGCCGATTTTTATATGATCCTAAGGATGCATAATCTATTTGTTTTGGATACAAAAACTAGAAAAAACGCAACACAAAAACTAGAAATTGTTGAGCAGTCAGTAATGCAATACTGTAATAATAATAATAAAAAAGAGTTTATCATGGGTTTTTACCTAAAAGTACTAATAAGTTTGTCTTACATTACATACTAAATTTCTTAACTTGAACGCAGTTATAAAAATTGTAAATATGATTAAGTGAAAAATTGCAAACCAACTTTTTTCTAATATTAGATCAACAAACAGAATCATGAAGTTAACAATTTTCATCTAACCAAAAAATTAAAATGTTTGTTGTTACTCTGAAAACAAAATTCATCTGTAACTAATACAGGACCAAATTAATGAGATAGTCTTTTCAATTTAAGAAATTTCCTTTTTTTTTCTTCATTTTTTTTAGATATCCTGCTGGCTGGGTTATGTTTGTATGCACTTTTGATTTGAATAATTTTTAAGATAAAAAAAAAAGAAATACAATGATTAATATTATTTGTTGTTTCTTTGAATAATCTTTTTTAAATCTTCTAATATAATTAAATAAAATATTTTTTGAAAAAGCCTTTTATTTATTTATTTTTTTGAATTAGCTCATAATTAAAAACTAAATTTTTTTTGTTTTTTAAAAAAATACGAAGATAAATTTTACAAATGTGCAGGTGACAGGTATTAGGTGTCATTTTTGTATCTTGTATTTGTAAGAGAGTTGATTTTGAAAGAAAAAAAAAAAGTCTTTTTTTTTTTTTCAGTAATGTGAAAATATCCTATTTTACAGCTTAAATTTGTCTAAAAGTAACTAAAAGATACTTTTGAATTTATTTAAAAAAATTTTAGAACATAATTCTTTGTGCTTGATTTTTTATGATTTTTTTAATATTAATTATCAAATTGCTTGAATATAATGATTTAGTCACTTCCTTTCTGCAACAAGTGAATCAACTGTTAAATTTACATGAATCTTATATCCAAAAACACTTACATGCATTAAGATTATGCTTCTAAATATAATTTCAATAAAAATATAAGATTTTCATAATTTTAAATTATTAATATTCACTCAGTAAGACCAATTTTTTTTTAAGAAAAAAGATAGTAATTTTTTAAAAATCTTTTTCTTTATTTTTATAAAACAAAGTTAAAAAGTAAGTAACTATGAAAAATATCCCCAAGCAGATATTTTCATCATTTTACTTAAATTATTTAATAGTGTTGAAGTACTAATGTTTTTGTATGAATATTTTTGAATTATTTGTGGTCTGTTTTTTGTGTTTTCTTTTCAATTTTCTGCAAATCTGAATTTATTTCCCTCTTCTAGTTACTATACAAAATTCTGCTTGATAAAAGTAATTTTTAGAAACAATATTCTAATCAAAATGATTATTTTATTTATTTCCATTTAAACTATAATAACAAAAAATAGCATTGCATTCCTTTGGTATTTTTCTTATCTTTATTTGTTCATACTCAAAACATTCATTATACAATTTGTACAAAAATTAAGGGATTCATATATTGTACCTTTTAATTTGGCTTTCAGTTTTATTTTCTTGCATTGAGTGCAGTTGTTTAAGTAATAAAATCACATTCAGTGCAGTTGTTAAAGTTATGTTCAGTGGATGGGTACTAACAGAACTGTGAAAAAGTTACTTTATTCAAAACTTTGTGTCTTTAAATCACATGCAATACAAACGAGAAGATGGTTGAAGTGTAAAAGAGGACACGAAAAAGATGTCCAAGTCCCAAAACCATGAAGAATGTAGACTCAAGTCCTCAATCGACTGTTTGGCAGTAAAATCATAATTTCATTTAGAGCGTGAAAAACCATTTAAGAATATTCCCCCCTTTATAATAGCAAAAGAGAAATTGATTTGTTATGCACAGGTTTTTGATGGTTTCAATTGTTATGTTATTGAGACACTATCTAGTGTGAGAAACTTTTCATGACAAATTCTGTTTAAATTACTATGTTACGAAGACACTATCCAGTGTAAGGAAATTTTCATAAAAGATTCTGTTTCAATTATTATGTTACGAAGACTATCAAGTGTGAGAAACTTTTTGTAACAAATTCTGTTTCAATTATTATGTTACGAAGACACTGTGTGAGTAACTTTTCATAACAAACTCTGTTTCACCATCATTGGTTTCTTAAAATTTATAGTTGAGTGAAAAGTGAGTCCAGACAAACCTAGAGTAAACCATGAAGTTTGAAATGCTGAAAAGATGTTTTCAAAATATCGAACTGCAAACAAATTACTACAGGATTATGATGTGAAAATTAATCTTGAAATAATTTATTTGTACTTTGATATTTTGAAAGCATTTTTTTCTGCATTTCAAATTTTATGGTTTACTCCATGCTTTCCCGAACTCACATTTCTCTGAACTTGTCATTACTTATGTAGGCAAAAGATAACTTGCCATTAAGGATTTCTCCCGTAGTATATCATTCTTAGTCATAGCATCTAGGTCAAAAAGGTAAAATTTTATGTTTCAATACTATTGGTGAATTTTTTTAAAAATTGCATTGCCTTCAATATATATTTTTTTTGATAATTAAAAAATGTGATTTTTTTTATATGTAACTTTTGTTTAATGGTACTTTTATTCTTGAAAGTATGTTTTCATGAAAAGAATGATTATTTTTTATATAAAATTTAAGTATTGAGATTTTATTCACAATATTCTTTCTTTTTGGGAAAGGTTCTAAATTATTAATATGTATAAAAAGAAGAACTGTTAAGAACATTTTATTGGTGTAAAATACACCTAAAGACATCTTTTATTACTCAGATTTCCAGGTATACTAACATGCAATCTGAGCAACTCAAGGTCTTTAAATTTTCTGATTAGTGCAGACAATATTTTTGTTGCAAAAATCGATCCAAAAAAAAACATATTTTCTTATAGAAAACGTGCTTTGCTTTAAAAAAATTAAGATTTTCGCCCCTTCAAATAGGTAGCTGCAATCTAGGAAATAGTCTTAGTTGGCCTTATCAAACATTTTCCCTCACAATTATGAAATTTGTTTTTCCCAAGGTATAAAGTCAAGAAAAAGAAGAAAAAAAAAACTTTTTTTTTGTAATTATTCTCTATTTGATTAATAATATGACCGAAATCATTTTAAATTGTTAGGTATACAAATTTTTTAGCATTTTAAACAATAAAACACAAAATATAAATTGAATTTGATGACAAATTTTAGAGCAATAAAATGTCAAAAAAATCTTGTTTTTAAATCTTCAAAACTGGATTTAGATAGGTTACTACAAATAGTACGTTTTCTCTGTAAAACAGCAACCTAAACATACTTTTAATATTCTAAACTGAAGAAAAATGCATACTCCTGAATTAAAAAAGTTATGAAATTTTATCAATCAGTGTGCTTTTTGGTGGTTACTAATGTTACTTTATGAATTGTGGTTATTATTGGTGGTTACTTTTTGAATTCATTTTCTAGTGTTTTAATCTATTAATAGTTTGAAACCTAAACGAAGTTTCATATTTATATGAAGTGTTTCATATTTATGAATTATGACATATTTACCATATTTCATAAAATGCCTAGTTTTGCCTCTATTCTGAAATTATTAACATCTTTTGAAAAGTGTGAAATTGTTTCTGTTAATAAGTTATTTCATTACTTTAAAGAATATTGTTATTGTTTTCAATTTCAAATTTCTTATTAGTATTTTACAATAGTTCAATTTATCTGTAATTAAAGTTAATTTAAATATAAGGTAATGGTATATAGTTTCTGCATTAAAAAAAACCATGCGTTTAAAATAAAATTTTAATTTATATTATTATTTTAAATTATATTATTAGTTTATCAAATGTTTTGGAACTTTTCATGTTTTTAAATGTCTATTAAAATGACTTGATTTTTTAATAGTTATCAATACTCCTAGATTCATAGTTATACTGTGAAAATTCCATTTACTAATATTCAATTGATGAATGAAATTATGCATCATAAATAACTTGCGGAATTATATTAAATTTGCCTATTTAATCAATCGTATAACTTTTGTAGATTTCCATTATTTATACAATAAAATTTGGCGATTATTTTATGGTTATCGGATCTTTCGTTTTTTGTTTCTTCTTTCCTATTTTCCTCTCTTTAAAGAAGAGCTCCACCAATCAAATGAGAGAAAGGGAGTGATCCCCGCTGATCGAATAGAGCCGGCGCATAGCTTACTTTCTGCTTTGCTCTGAGAATTTCCCACATCAGTTGAGGATCATTGATAATAAAATGGCGGCCGTTATCTTGAATTATTGTAATCGGTCTAAATTTGTAGTTAATGAAATAGACTTCTGAGATCGAAATTCGACGTTCCATTTTTATCTGCAAATGAGAGGGAATTTTACTTATTTTTTCTATTATATATACGTTTCTTTATTTTAGTTTTTAAGTTAAAACATGTGCATAGTGGTTGTTTGTGTATCATCAGTTACTATCCTGTATCAGGTAAAATACTTATTTGTTCTTGGCGCCACTGCGTATTTTAAGAGAAATTTCTTTTCCTAACAGAATTTTAATTTTATAGTTGAATGCCTGGACATGAAGTTTAATTTTGTGAATTATCGAACTGTTTTTTGATACATAAAAGGTCTTAAATGAAACGTGCGAGCGAAAAGTACCACGTGACCTCTCCTAGCCGTCCGCTAGTATATGACTCGTGAATGTGTGTGGCGGTGGGTGAAAATTGTTTTTGATTTTTTAGTTTTTATTTTGAAAGTTATGATTTCAAACTTAAAATTAGGATGTTATTTACTCGTTTATTTAAGGGAGAAAAAATGTAAGTTAACTTCTACTCTTTATTGTTTTAATTAATTTAAAAAATGTCTAATTTTCCGCTAAAGTAAATTTGAATGAAATGATTATTTAGTTTACATAGGGCCACGATGCTGTTATTTTGCGGTGTTTTTTTAAAAATGCATTGTTATGTGTTGAAAAATTGTTTTAAAATATTGATTAGTTGTGCGTTTTATTTGTTTGTTTGTGAGTAATATTCTATTTATATTGATTTACATAAATATTTAGGAATTGCGCAATATAGTAAATTTCCCCTACGATATTGAGAATAATAGTTATTGTGTTGAGTGTACGTTCAGTTTATGAGACAGATAAAATGCTGTTGATTTTTTTTTAATGTTTTGAATGGATAAAATATTTTATTGATTAAATTATTCGAAAAAAATTTCCATGGTTATTGTTTGACAATTTATTTTAGTAATTATTTGTTTATGTCTGCTATTTCACTTTGTAAACATTTTACTGTTCTACAACATAGACAAATTGATTTAATTGCATTCTCTGTAGTTTAATTTCATAATAATTGTGGTTGCTAGTTTTTTTTTTAATAATTTTAATTAACTTTTTTACTTCAATTGTATTTTTTTCTTATTTTATTGTTGATTAAATTTAAGTTTACTTTCAGAGTCATTAATCTTGATCTTTTGTTTAACTTTTGTGGTTGTTGATTTTAAAACATATTTATATTTCTATCAAATGTGTCGATAGGCCATTTTTGTTGGGAAAATTTTCATATCGTGATACTGAATAATCGCTAAATCTTGAGGCTAAATTTTCGGGCAGTGGCCCGCAAGAAACTTTAAAAAAAATCAAAGAAGGGGACCAACTTTAGTATAACTTTTAGCTACCCACAGACAAATATCTATTCTTTTAAAAAGTATTTTCAAGTTTAAATTTTATTTGGTGCGTTTGCAATTGTAGTTGCCACTACAGATCGTACTGAAAGATCCCTTTTTTTGTATTTTAATTAGGCTTTTAAACTGTAAATTTTTTAATCTGTTTTGTGAATTATAAATAATTTTCCTTCTTATTCTTAATTTATAAATGATTCTTTTATTATTATGGATATATATCTCTGATTAGTAAAAGTACTATAACTCAGAAGGTTATTTTTTTTCAGACACTAATAGTTAATTAATTTAAAATCACAGTTTTATTGATCACTTTTATTTTTGATATGAAGGTATAATTCTTTAGGAATTAAATTGTCGTCTGTTTCGAAACATTTTGACATGTCACAAAATTTATGAATTTTTCGTATGACCCGTTGATCAATTAGAAACGAGATTTCACTACATGATAATAAAAAAAGTTATCATGTTAGTTTTTAAAATTAAATGCAATGCAAATCAACACAAAAGTTTTTTCTCTCAAATCTTGCAGTATTAAAAAGATTCACAAATTTCTCTGGTGTCTGTTGGATTAATTTTGATGCATCAAAAGTTGAAGTATATTGGCAATAAAAAATTCCATGACGATGTTCAAAAAAGTCCTTGATTTTTCCAAATATATGAAAATATAAAAATTTTAGTTAGAGAAGTGTAAAGTTGATAAAATATATTTTTTCAAAAGCAGTTCAGTCTACATAATAAAGGTTAAAAGCTCTAATAATAATGTAAAACAGTGATAAAAGTTTAACTCTTTGTTTAAAAATAAAATTAATGTTGCATAGGTTCGAAATAATGCTAAAGTAAACTTTTTTTTAGTAAACTTAGCAATATTATCCACCTCTCTTCTACCCCTTAATTACCCCTCTCTTCTGTGTATGGAAGATTTATGAATTAAAACTTAACCCAAAAAACATTCTGGTTGTGTCACTGCTCAAGGCAGTGTAATTGGCATTAAAACTTCACAAATTATAAAAGTAGGATAAACAAAAATTGCTATGAATGCAAATTATTCATTGTAATGCTATTGGTTTGATATTATTAACCTTACAAATAAAGTTCCTAGGTTTTCTAAGCAAGAAAGTGTATTAGGTACTCATTTTAAATATTGTTTAACACTATCTCGTTAAAAAGAAAAAATATTTTTTCCCATTTAAATTTTTCGCATTTATATATCTGTGGTGCAGATTGTTATTGAATATTGAAATAGATAGTTTTGTTTATACTAAAAAATTAACCAAATTCGGAAAAAAAAATTATGCATTGCCAAATTGTTTCATTTCCGTAACTTAATTTTAAATTGTATTTTCTTTCTTTTTTTTTCATTTATAGGAAATGTAGCTATTAATTTTATTAGTTTTAAGGAAGGGGTGTAGCGTAAAGTGTGTTAACTTTTGAATTACTTGAATTTGACCATTTTTATGGATTGTTTTAATGACTTTGATATTGTTATGAATATTTGACCTATTTTAAAAGCTAGAACTTTGTATTCTCAACTTCCATGATTTTGAAATATTTTGTTTGAGCCTCAGATTTTAGCAATCACCATATTATTGTATTTAAATAAATCTATTTCTATCATTTTTAGAGTTTGAAAAATAATGAGCAAATAAAATATATTTATTAATATTAAATATATTATATTTTAAAAATGATAATCTTCTATGGATCTATGGTAACTGCTATAAAAGAACTCATTAAGGAACATCATTCATTATATGTAAATGTATTTATTATATGTGTTTTATTATTTATAAAACATACTTAAGGCATTTACAAAAACATTTGATATTGTCCAACTTATTCTTATACTCTAATTTTCACAAGAATTCCTTGGATTCTGCATTTTGTAGGAAAGTTTTTCGTTATTTAGTTGAAAAGAAATCTAAGAAATTCAGAATGGTGCATCAAAATTCAATAAACTGTTGTTTAAAATGGCTATTTATCCCTTAGGAAACTTGCACACCACGTGTAAACATCTAAGAATTCAGTTTGAGAAGCTTTAAGTAACCCTATAATATTTTAAATTATAAAATTCAGTAATCTATATTTTAATAAGTATTGGTATAATCTATATTTAATAAGTATTTTAATAATATTGACTCTTAAAAATATTTGGAAAAACTGTTTTTAAAGAATTATTTCTTTATTAAAGTTTTATATTTCTTTTCCAATAATAGAATAACTAGTTGCTAGTTTGTTTTTTTAAACAATTATTTAATATTCTCCTGAAAAGAGAGTAATCTCTGTGTTTTGTATTGTATGACACCTGAAATGCTTAAGAAATAGTATCATCAGTGTCAAAACAGAATTATTTGGACACAATAATTCTATGTTTTAGCACTGTTGTTATTTATAATATTAGTTGATGATGTTATTTAATATAATACTGAAATAGTTTATTTTTTATCTGTGTTTTTCTATTTGTTGTGATCATTTTTGTGTCATGATCTGTGGCCAAGCCTGGGCAACTTCCATGCAGCACAGCACCCCATGAGAAACTTTAAAAAAAACGTCACAAAAGCGTAACAACTTAAAAATATAACATGTAACCAACCCGGCCATGCTTCTACTTTTTTTTAAAAAAAAAAGAAAAATTGCAAGTTTTTAGTTTAAAATTCATTTGGTGCTTTGACTATTGTAGGTGGTGGGACAGATCTCAATACAGAAATATCCTCTCCTTGNGCAGTGTTCCCCAACCTTTTTATCACCGCGGACCTGTCAACGTTTGATAATTTTATCACGGCCCACTGGCGGGGGCGTTGATTGTTTATATTTTAGATAATTTTGATTTATTAATTTTAGTTTAAGTGTATTTAAACATGCCTTCAAAATAAAATACAGTCACACCAAAAGATAAATATAAAGTGATTTAACATTTTAACTTACTAGAACGTTAAATCACTTAGTCACAATCGAGAGAGAAGACGAAGTTCTTCATTAGTTCCAATGTAAATTTCACGCCGCACTTTCGTGTTTTATTTATGATATTTACATTTAGGATGATTGACATTTATTTTAATTAAAACTAAATGAAAGAGAAAATAGTTGCTGTGGTTTCCTTCTTTTTTACTTTTTAAAACATTAAAAATTAATGGACCTCAAATATTTTTAATTTAGGGTATAAACCTAGGAATTTAAATTCAATTTCAATGAAATGGGTGGCCTGGTACCACTTGATCCACGGACCGGGAGTTGGGGAACACTGGTCTACAGAATTCAAATTTTTTTTCTTCCAACATTTAAAAATAACTAATTGTTTTCATGAAAAGTATATATTTTTATCATTTTTGAAGAATGTTTTTTGTTTTGGAAAGTAGATCCATTATTAATGTATTTATATGTATTAATTTTATTACTGTGTTTTGTGTTGTAATTTTAATTGAAGTATTTTTTTTTTTTTTAGAGTCTATACCCATAATGGGTTGTTGAATTATTAATAAATAGTTGTTAGCATGTGTAATGGCTGTGGTTGTATCAACTTCTTCTGTTGTTTCCACTACATCAGCTTGCCTATCTCCACAACTACCTCTCTTATCATTACGTGAAACTGTTGCGAAAATTAACATGCCTGCAGTTGTTCAGGGTCCTGTTGTGAATCCTCAAATGTCTCATACTTCTACTTCAGTAACTGCTGCCGTTGAGCCTTTGTTTAATTTCAGTATAAGCAATGGAGAGATTCACCCTGTTACTTCAAATGCTGTTCCTAAAATTGCAGTTCCTCCTGTTGTTACATTAAATGGTTAGTTTTAAATGTTTTCAGTTAAAACACTCAATGTTGTTTTTGCACATGATTTGGTGTTATTTTTAAATGAAAATCTTTAGTTATAATGTTAAGTTAAAGAAATAGTTTTTTTTCTTCAAAAATTAAAATTCATATTGTGCATGTATATAATGCAGTGTTCTTACTGTCTTCTGATGAACCTAGACAGTTTGGTTAATCTATCTGTAAGATAAGGAATTTAAAAAAAAGAAAATAGCCAAAGGAAGAAAAATGTTTGATTCAGCTTCAATTAAAGACTATCGACGGCTTCATTTAAAGACTATAAAGGGCTGAATTCAATTAAAGGCTACAGTGGCTATAAAAATAATTATACTCTAGAAGTTTCAGAGTGTCGAGAAAATAAAGGAAATTCAACTCTTTTAAAATACAATTATCTACCTCGTATTAACTCCTGTGATAGAGTGCACGAGTAGGTTCAATAAATAAAAAAATATATTTTTCAAATTGGCAAATATAAATAATAATTAACATTTAAAAATATTTTACTTTTCTAGTTTTAGTGTCGTCAAGGGTTTTGCAAGAAGGAAAAGAAAATATTTCTTTTTCAGTTTTTGTAATTCCCCTAATATGGTCATTCGCTGTATTTTGTCAAGGTTTGGCAAAATGGTGCAAACCCTACTGCAATGTGATTTTGGTTTGTACAATTGTATGGGCCATAAAATCGTATAATAATATACTTCTGACACTTCATTTTTAAATGCAGTCTATTCTAAAAATTGAAGAGACGCTAAGAAAATTTCAAAATGGGTAGTTTTTGATATAGTAAGTTAAGAACTAAATATGTTCTAAAAAGTAAAAAAATATATTCTAAAGTTAGACTCATTAAAACATAAGAATAACTACTAATAAATATGTATGTAAAGATAGCTGACTATAAGTCTAAATACAACAACGATAAATTTATTTTTAAAAGTAAGACAAACGCAATTATGCATTAAATAGAAAAGAATTGAAAAATCGCAATGAACTTACATTGTGATTTTTCTGAAAAAATTCATTTTCTATTTCGAAAAATAGTTGGTGTAGCAAGGTTTTGACAAGAAACCCTTTGACATAGGAATTCAAATTGACATAAGGTGGATATATAATGCCAAGGGGAGAAATATTTTTTGACATAGCAAGGTTTTCGAGATATCGAGAGTATACTGCCATTAAATTAAAGATAATAAAAGTCATTAGGTGATTTCGTAAAACCAAAAAGCTGTCATGTTACTTCCTATTTCAAAACTTGTTGAATTCTGAAATCTTTAGACTCCTAGTTCTACAGATTTTAATCGATGAGCATTTATACAATAAAAAATATAAAATGAATAAAAATAATAAAATTTTCTTTTAAATAGTTTAAAAATGTAACTATACTTAGTCATCAGCATAATCCAGTTTAATCTTAGAAATACTGTTTAAAATTACTTATTATAGGTTATGAATTGTTTTAATTAAGTTTTATGAGATTAATAAAAATGATATGTTTTGTATTGTAACTATTTTCTAATTTTTTTCTAGTTGCACAAAACTTGAAAAATGACGCAGTGACAACAACTAGTCAAAAGCCAATTATTGTAACTGTATCAAATATGCAAGGAATGCCATCTGGAAAACATGTTAATGTAATTATTATTTTTGTAAAATTATGAATTTTTATGTGTACAGTAAACATCCAATTATCTGTGGTATCGAATGGCCCACTAAGAGCGGATAAGCGAATTCCTGGATAATCTGCAAAGCGCTTAAAGTGGAACCCATCGTCGATTTTTTAAATATAATTGATATACAGTAGGGAACTGATTATCCGGACCATCGCTATTCCGGATAACTGATTTTTCTGGTTTTCTGAATCTCTACAAAAAGCCGTTTTTTTTATTGTTAAACTCAACAAAAAAAAATTTTTTTTTTGAAATAATCTTAAAAAGAAGAAAAAACGATGAAGGAATACACTAATGATTATTTCCAAAATGATGGTAAGGTAAACATCTTTCAAAAAAGAAAGAAAAATCCTAAAATCTTATGAGGAAAAAAACATTTTTCTAAAAAAATGGCGGTTTTAAAAAGGTTTTTTTAAAAACATTTTTTAAAAAAAAACTTTTTAAAAAAATTTATCGAATTTCGTTCCAGTTTTTTGGTTTTCCGGTTTTCTGATTTCCGAATAACGGGTTCTGTATTGTATTTTCATATCTATTTTTAGCATTTGTCTTCACATTTCCTTATACATTTTTTAAAATTTCTTTTTGTATGAAAAAGTCCTGATTTTTTTTTGGTCTTTTGATATTGAACCTCTTTTTATTTGACATTGCAGATTTTTTAGTTAAATTTTGTCACTAAGTGTCACATCATCTTGATCTCCTATGAATTGACTTAGTCCTTCAATGTCTGCTAGAGCTGTATCATGACTTATTTTTTTCTGAGTCTAATCTTCTTCATTTTCAGCATCTGTACCTAATACTCTATCTAAAACTTCTTAGTCTCTAAAACATTCTGTTCCCTGATCATCCATGTCACAATTGTACCATTCGTTTATGATTTCTTCATCTGCATTTACAAGTATGCATTTTTTTTTGATGAAAATAGTGCACTGGACAGTTGACTGCTCTTGTCCCTTTGAATGATCTCAGTTTTTTGATTTCCCTATCACTTCCAGTTTCTGTTTTTGAGATCTTGTAGCATTGCTGCATGTCATTATTGTTATTCTTTCTTTACTGGATTTATGTCCTGGAGCTTGCCGTTTGTTTTCAAATGCCAATGTGAAGAATTGGCAAGTATTTCCAAAACAGTCCAGATTGGTCATTGCAAATTTGTTCACATGAAAGCCCTTCTAGAGACTGTTCAAATTCTATTTTAAAATGTTTCAAAGCTTGAAAGTCACCACTTAGTTTCTCACCATGAAGGATGATTTCGCAGATCTCATCGCATTTTTTCAATCACGTCAACCATCCTAAAGATGCATGGAATGTTCCTTCGAGATCCAGCATTTGAAAAAATTCATTCGCAAAAACAATGAGACATAAAGTAGGAATTCTTTCACTTCTAACTTGCATTATCCATAGTAAGAAAAAGGCATCTAGATGTTCATATGTGCTAATTTTAATAGTTTTTCGTTTTTTTCATCGATGAAGAATTATCTGAGAGATGAAAATTGCCACAATTTATTTTTTTGCTGCTTGAGTATGTCTCGAAAAGTAGTTTCTCCTATTCCATACTGTAAGTTTAAATGCTTTTTTGTGGCACCATCTTCACATTTTTAAATCTACTGTATTTTATTTTGAATTGATAAAACCACCTTTTTTAGTCATTTTGCAAAAAAAAAAAAAAGGCAAAAGTCCAAAATAAAGCAGGCACAAGCAAATTTTTAACTCAGGAGTTCAAACACTGTTGAATAAAGACTGCACAAAACGATGTTCAAAACATGTGAATTAGTTCTTATTAGAGTAACCATGCATCCATAATTTTTAGAAACTCCTATCAGCAACAAAACTAAAAATAAACTACTAGCAGCAATTCTGAAATTCCTGCTTCATTCTTCTTCTTTCAGGGGTATAAGTGTTGTGTGGAGACAATACTTATTTGTTAGTTATCAATTTTATAACTGATAAGAGTTGTAAGAATGTGTTACATGTTGACTGAGGATAATTCATTCCATTCTTCAGGAGAAACTAAATTTCTCAATATCATTCATTGAAATTTGAACTTGATCCTGCATTTGTAGTTCAACAGCTATAAATCATGATTTAAGCTGTCTTGCTCTTTATGAATGCCTTGCCTTTTTGCACCTTTTCAATGCTCCTTTTACTTAAGTAATGCACTTGAGGCTGCAATGTTTAAATGTAGACTCATTATCTGATTAATTGGGAAAACCTGGACTACGAACATGAATGTTTGCTAGTATGTTCCCGAAATTCGTAAAATGATTCCATCTCTATGAAATTTTTATTTCTAAATGCGATGTTGTTTATCATTTCACAAAATAAAAAAGGTGAAACATGAATGATCAGCAAATCAGATTATCTACCCACAGATTATCGGGAGTTTACTGTTTGTTAATTGAGTTTCTTTTTTTTAATAAGAAATTGTATGAAACAGTTTTTTTTTTAAAAGTTAATCATGGACTTAATATTTGCCTACAATGTTTTTAACAAGTCCTTTATTTTGTTTTATGGTTAATGAAGTGCCCTGTGGCAGAACTTTTTTGGACTTTCTGCTATATGTCTCTCTAGCACTAATATCTTTCTGCAAGACATTTTCAATAATAACAAATATATATGTGACTAATTTAAAGTGACAAAAGCATTGTCCTTACAAGGAAAAAACCTATTTTGATTAATAAATTGCTTTTAATTTTTTTAATAGAATATGCAATATTTGTTTTATTCAAGTACTATGGACAATATTCTATGTAGGAAAAAAAACGCACTTATTATTTCCTTTTTCGCATTTTGTAAATTATCACATTGAAAAAAGGGGGGAAAACAAATTAAAAATCGAGGAATCCGTTGCAGTATCTACTGGGAAAAAAAAGATTGACAATGAAATCACATGCATCAGACTTTTTAATAAGGGGTTACTCAAATGCGTGTTTTGTTTCAAAATTTGGTTTTTGCAATAAACATCATATTAAGAATATCATATTTTAAAAACCATGTGAAAATCAACATCAATAACTGTTTAAAACACAATTGTAACACTATGGATTTACGAAACCGAAATTTTTTACTTCTCAAAAGCAAAATCTTTCTGCAAGAACTAAGTTATTTTCTGCGACAATGTTGCTGTGTCGATTCTGCCACGGTGATGAAATGTACATTATGTTTTTCTATTACTGTTTACTATTATGATCATTATGATTTTTTTGATTTATTATGATTTTTTTTCCTACTATGTGTCTTAATTATTTATACTTTTTGTCTCCAGCTAACTTCCACGACCAATGTATTGACTGCACCGCTTATATCTGCACCTGTTCACATGGTTGCCCAACACTTCACCACTGAAAAGCTACCAGCATCTACTAATCTCATGTCGCTCCCTACTCTTCCCAGAGCCGCTACTGTTAACCCAGTACTATCTGCCAAACCACGCCAAGCACAACACATTACTCCCCTTCTTCCAAGTGGCATTCTTACCAAAACTGGACAACTGGTGATTGCCAGCGCCAATAGTCCTTTGATAGGTTCTTCATCTGGCTCAGTTATAACAAGCATGTCAGGTATATCTTTGAATAGCAATATAGTTACAGTGACGCCTGTGTATGTGACGTCAACCACTCCGCTGATGTCCTTTCCTAGTAATTCTGGAGTCACTCTCAATCCTGTTTCTCAAGGGCAAATGATTACCACTATGATTCAACCCACGGCAAATGCAAAACCAACTTTAGCTCCTAATAACAAAACAATAATGCCTGCTGCATTTCTTAAGCCTGTTAGTATTGCGGCTGCTGCTCCTTTTCCAGTAGCTGTGCAACCTACTCCTATTGCACCAGCGGCTATAACTATAGCGCCAGTTCAGACAAAAGAGCCTGAAGTGGAACCTAAGTGCGATCCCAAGCCTAATGAATTTGATCCAATACAGGCAATGGAATGGAAAGATGGAATCGCAACTCTACCTGGTAGTAATTTAAAGGTAAATTAAATAATGTACTTTAGATTAGTTTTTTTCAATTTATTTTATTAATTTTAAAATTTTTGTTTAAAAGAAATTAGCTTCAGGGCTCAAAATTAATGGTGGTCTGTTGTCCAAGACCACTAAAAGCTGACTTGAATTACCATAGAATAATAATCAGTGGTTCCTTAGACCAGCAAACTATTTAAAGGGATGGTGTGCTAAATTGACTTTTTAGAATTCATGTTTCAGATGTTGTCTTAATCTTAAAATAGCATATTTCTTCATAATTGTGACATTACACATTCTCTACATTAGAAATTTTCATTTTATGAACTTTTTATTTAAGAAAAAAAAAATTGGTGTAATTTATGTAGGAATTGGCATTGGATATAAAATGCAGGAATTGCTATTGGGTTATAATATGAGGAATTTTTTTCCTCCAGATTGTAGGAATTTTTTTTCCCCAGTGACAACCCTGACTGACTAAAATTAAATTTGCATGTGAAAAATCAAATTCCTTTGATAAAAATTTTGAAGTCAATGGCGGTCACCTCTGAAAATGACCAACCTCCATTAACGACCATTTTACGTAACGGAGAGTGGTTGCTTCTGAGAGGTTTCACTGTATAGAATTTTATGTATTGTTTTGCCTGTTAGAAATTAACCAGGGTTGCCACTCCATAGGGAGAACAAGAAAATTTGATCATGGAATACTTTGTTATTATTAAATTATTATTTTGTTATTATTAAAAATTCTTTTTAACTAAATGAATATGAGAAAAACACATTTGCTATACAGGAAGAAATCATAGTAAAGGATTGAAAAGTCCTGCTGAAATGCTTTAAGGATTTGTGACTGTGGATGTTGGTCGAGAATTTAACCCAAAATGAATCTTGGGCTATGGTACCACAATTCGCTAGTCTTATTAAGATGTGGCGTCTCTCAGTACAACTTACTATATTTTACTAATTATTCATAATATATGAATATATAATTGTCAGATGTATATATTAGGTGTCTATTTGTCATTATATTTTTTACTGATATATTTAGTTGTTGGCAGGTTCTTAAAGAAATAGATAAAAGGGAAATTTCTCTGTTGCTTTCTTATTGTATATTGACAGATATTTGTTGGTCATATAAGAATTCTTCATGAAAAAGGTTTTTATTTCAAGCGTAATTTTTATTTTCCAGTTCAAGTTGACTGAGTTTGGTACTCTCGAAATGATTAATGATGACATTTTTACTGCTTCTCCTTCTCCTGTTAAGCCTATCAAAGAAGAAACCTCTGTGGCACCACCGGAAGACAACACTTCTGAGACAAGACAAAAACCTGTAAAGAATAAAGAAATGTATCAGGATGGTTTGTATTTTATCTATAATTAACTTCATTTTAAAATAGTTTTTTTTAATATATATTTTAAATAAATTAAACATTTATTTTTTTATTATCTTTATGAAATAAATTTTGTATTTTTTTTTAGAAAGTAAACCTAGCAATAGCTCAACATGTAGTACATTAAAAAGAATACGAGTTAGTAGACAAAATAATTACAAGACATTTTGATTCTGAAATAATAAAAACTTAAGTAAAAAAAAATAATAAATCTAAAATTACATTTTCCCTGTATTTGATTTTGAAAATTGATTTTGAAAATTCTTGCAAAAGTTTATTAATAAAGATAATACAAAAATTGTTTCATTTTGAAATAATTTTTGAGAATTCAAAGTAAAACAATTTTCTTGATGCTTAAAATAATTTTTTTTCTGGACTAGGGGCTAAGTCCCCTGTTTTACCCCCGCAATAATTGTTGTTTCTTAGTAAAAAGCAGTTCTTTTTTTTTTTTTTTTTTTGCAAAAATTGAAATTATTTACTTAATATAATATATATACTGAAAAGAATTCTATTTGCTTATTCTTGTGCCTTCACTTCTCACGTTAAAATATTATTTTCTATTAGTATTATAAATATTTAGATCTATTCGTGAACAGAAGTAATTTTGAAATAACATTTTAATTGTTATAACATTATATTGTTCTAACAAATTTGGTGAGTTCACAACCATAATTTAATGTTTTCGCTTACCAAATGGACAAACGTATTAAATAGTATTTTTGCTTGCATCACATTGTGTATGAAGCTGATCGTTAGGTTCTAAATCATTTTACGAATCTCTATAACATTAATTTATAACAATATATTAATGTTATTTGCACAAAAAATAATTTTAAAACAGTTGGTAAGATTAGACATCTTTTTAAATAACTTTATCAAAAAATGTAGCACAGAATTGTTTTATAATATAATAATAAAAAAGAATAATCTCATAGTTTTAAACTCTTAAATCAAAAGTGTAATAATAGCAGTACAGGAAAATGCCTTTAAATTGGGTATAATATAAAAAAAACACAACTGCTTCCACTTAGTAGGAATAACATTTACCATGACGCAATGCTAAATTCTATGCCACTATCCACATAAATCAATTATTAATCAAAAATCGAATATCAATTACTTTTCTTTATAATGCAATAAAATCTGGCGAGCAGCTATCTAAACGATCAAACACTTCGTTTGTTTATTTGTGGCTTGAAGTTAGGCTCGCAGAAAATGCCGTTCATGGGTTAAATTTAGTAGGAATAACATATACCTGTAGGCTATAGTATACCCAATTAGGGATACATCAATATTTATAGAAAAACAATACTTTTACTACTTTTATTAATTTCATGCTGATGACAACCAAAACAATATGGAAATGAATAAGGAAAAACTGGATTCTACCATGTGATTTTTCTGGCCAATGAAAATATACCGACAACAAAGAAAAACTGCACCACCATTATTAGATTTTTATATATATAGTTAGATTTTTTATTTCCATGTTAGACTTAATGATAATTTGTTAAACCATTTGTTTTGTGATAAATTGTTTGCTTTTTTTTATAAACATTCTGCTTTTCATGATAATTTAAAGTAATAGAACATTTATTTTCTTTGTTTTGAATTAGTCATGGCATTTAAATAACTAATAAATTTTTTAAATGAGGTTCTTTTAAGTCGTGCATGGACAATAAGAAATTAAGGATCATTATACTATTTTGAATTATTTTGGAAACAGTTTGTATGATATATATTTTATTTCCCTGCAAACTTCAAATTGAATTAAATTAATGAATATAAATATTAAAATATATTTATCAAGCATGTGAAAAATAAATTTAAATCAAGAATAAATAAAAAAAGTAAATGTAAACTTTTTATTTTCTTTTTAAATTTTCTTATTTTCTAATAAACTTTTTATTTTCTTTGTAAACTTTTTATTTTCTTTTTAAATGTAAGATTAGACACTTTTTTATTTCTCTTTTTATGGTATTTTTCTGTGTATTATAAATTAAATAGGCTTAAAGATATTGTTTCTAATATTTATTTACATTTTTGTGTTAAAATTAGATTTCTGTTAATTAAATTTATGTCTCTTTTAATGTCTTGATAAAATTATTTTTATGCTTAGTATTTTTTATATTGAATACTTTTAAAACTATTTTTTTAATATTTTGTATTAAGGAATTAGTATTTTCTATTGATCCCTTTCTTTAACAATTTTTCTTTTGCAAACTTTGTTTTTATTTCAAATCGGTAAAATTTGCAAATTATTGAGAAAAAAAAGTAATTGTACTTTTTTTATTTTTTAGAAAGCAGCATTGACAAAATTCCCCAAACTGGGCCAAAAGACCAAGACATGTCTGAAGAATTATGCCGTTGTGAAAATTGCAATTGTTTTGGCTTGAAAGGAGAGTTTTGCAAAGGTGGTCGTTTTTGTAGTGAATCTTGTGCCACAGCTTTTAACAACAAGTAAGTTTTAAAAGATTTTAATGTTAAATTTTTTTATTACATATGTTTCATATAGGTTTTCAAAATTTAAACAAATATACTGTGAAGCATAGTTAGAAATATGAGAGACAATATTTTCAGTTTAGTCAGAAATGTATATAAAAAATAATTCATATGTTAATTGTAGGTAGTTTTGTTAAAAATACTTGCTTCTCCTTTTTCTGGCCCTATAATACAGGGTTCATTTAAGGCAGGGTTTGCAGTGCAGACTGTCCTGTCTGTCCTTTTAATTAAAAATTCCACCCTGCCTGTCCTTTGAACTTAATTATGATCTCCAATATTTTAAAGGGGGAAAAATCTATTTGCTTGGATTATTTTATAAATTTACATGTTTGTCTGATAATTTTTTCGACTGTAATTAATTGTGCTTTGACCGTTTCCCTATGATTTTTAAAACTCTGGTATATTTAATACATTATTATCATCATTTTGAACTTGATCTATTTTTCATTTGAAGCGTTCTAATTCGTGATGATTTTATTGTTATTTCGTGTTGTTAGATAATTTTTGTGGAAGCTATTTATCCTTTTTTTGCCTTTTTCGCATGGGGTTTTCAAATTTGATTTTTTTAATATGATAAGATGTGTGAATTTGTATTATCACTTTTTGACGTGCTCGATCCGTGACTATTGTCTCTATTATTGGAATCCCCCATCCTCTTGGTGATGGTTTTTTCAGAAATTAGCATTTTTTTGCTCTTTTTACATGGTTTATCAAGTTAGATATGTTCAATATGAAGCTGTTACGATGTTTGAAATTCAAATGATGGGTTTATCGGCAGTGATTTATCATTTTATCCTTTTCATGTGGTATTTCAAATTCCAATATTTCAAATATGATCTTATTACTATGTTTTATTTGTGATGATTCTGTTGCAATTTCATGTTGTCGAATGATATTGGGTTGTTCGGAAAGTTCATGTCAATTCTATTGTACTGGATTATGTATGAGGCAAATTTAACGGACCACCCAATAGTCTTTTTGACAGTTAATTATCATTGCATAAACCCTTTTTAAATTCAATTTGTTTAACACAATTTTATTACGACATTCAAATTTCGAATTTGAGTTATCATTTTTAAGGCATCAATTTGTAACAATTCCATCATAATTAACGTCGTTTGGTGATAGTTTTTTCTGTTGTTATTTATCATATTTTCGGCCTTCTATACATCAGGGTGCGTAGAGTTTCTAAAAAGTACTTAAAGGTGCTTTTTTGTGGATTTCGTTTTTAAAAGCTTTTAAAGGTGCTTTTTTCAGCTGGCGTTTTTAAGAAGTGCTTTTTTCCCGAATAATTTTTTTTCTTCCCTTCAGTGATATCTGGTGGATCCCATGCATTTCACAAAAAATGGGGAGTTTGCTACGTAATCATTCACGCGGACTTCATGTCGTACCCACGTTATGACTTGTGCATGCGCGCACACTTGAAACCGAACCCTGAGTGCTCCAATTCGGATAGAGAGTATCAGATCCTTATGAAATATTTTTTTTAAAATTTATTTTAATTTTGTTCTTGTTTATTTTATTTTACTTCTAGCACTTTTTTTGACGTANTCTTCCCAGAGCCGCTACTGTTAACCCAGTACTATCTGCCAAACCACGCCAAGCACAACACATTACTCCCCTTCTTCCAAGTGGCATTCTTACCAAAACTGGACAACTGGTGATTGCCAGCGCCAATAGTCCTTTGATAGGTTCTTCATCTGGCTCAGTTATAACAAGCATGTCAGGTATATCTTTGAATAGCAATATAGTTACAGTGACGCCTGTGTATGTGACGTCAACCACTCCGCTGATGTCCTTTCCTAGTAATTCTGGAGTCACTCTCAATCCTGTTTCTCAAGGGCAAATGATTACCACTATGATTCAACCCACGGCAAATGCAAAACCAACTTTAGCTCCTAATAACAAAACAATAATGCCTGCTGCATTTCTTAAGCCTGTTAGTATTGCGGCTGCTGCTCCTTTTCCAGTAGCTGTGCAACCTACTCCTATTGCACCAGCGGCTATAACTATAGCGCCAGTTCAGACAAAAGAGCCTGAAGTGGAACCTAAGTGCGATCCCAAGCCTAATGAATTTGATCCAATACAGGCAATGGAATGGAAAGATGGAATCGCAACTCTACCTGGTAGTAATTTAAAGGTAAATTAAATAATGTACTTTAGATTAGTTTTTTTTTTCCAATTTATTTTATTAATTTTAAAATTTTCGTTTAAAAGAAATTAGCTTCAGGGCGGCTCAAAATTAAAGGTGGTCCGTTGCCCAAGTTCACTAAAAGCTGACTGAATTACCATAAAATAATAATTAGTGGTTTCTTAGACCAGCAAACAATTTAAAGGGATGGTGTACTAAATTGGCTCTTTAGAATTCATGTTTCAAACGTTGTCTTAAATAGCATATTTCTACATAATTGTGACATTACACATTTTCTACATTGTAAATTTTCATTTTATGAACTTTTTATTAAAAAAAAAAATTGGTATATGTAGGAATTTTTGGTATAATATGTAGGAATTGGTATTGGGTTATAATATGCAGGAATTTTTTTTCCAGATTGTAGGAATTTTTTTTCTTCCAGTGACAACCCTGACTGACTAAAATTAAATTTGCATGCGAAAAATCAAATTCCTTTAATAAAAATTTTGAAGTCAATGGAGGTCACCTCTGAAAACGACCAACCTCCAGTAACGACCATTTTACATTATGGAAAGTGGTCGCTGCTGAGAGATCTCACTGTATAGTAATTTTATTTATTGTTTTGCCTGTTAGAAATTAAACAGGGTTGCCAGAAAATTTGGTCATGGAATATTTTGTTATTATTAAATTATTATTTTGTTATTATTAAAAATTCTTTTTAACTAAATGAATGTGAGAAAAACACATTTGCTATGCAGGAAGAAATCATAGTAAAGGATTGAAAAGTCCTGCTGAAATGCTTTAAGGATTTATGACTGTGGATGTTGGTCGAGAATTTAAGCCAAAATGAATCTTGGGCTATGGTACCACAATTCGCTAGTCTTATTAAGGTGTGGCGTCTCTCAGTACAACTTACTATATTTTACTAATTATTGATAATATATGTATATAGGGGAGAGTGGGGTCAATTGTAACATTTTTTACTTAACTATTTTTAACTAACAAAAAAGCCAATATATTATTAGTATTAATTGACAGACAAGTAAAGTAGACTATCCTCTACTAGAAAAAAAAAAAATATCTGATTTTAAATGTTATTATATTAGTTATTAACAATTTTTGACAGTCGCGCACTTGTTACAATTGTTCCCACATACGGGTTCAATTGTAGCAGTTCATAAATTCAGCTAAAACATAGTTAACTATACATATTATCATAGTTGTGATATATTTTTTTATTGATCAAAATAGTAGTGATATTTTAGGAGTAAAAATAATAATGAGCAGACTCCTAAAGGGTTAAACTTTTAACTTTAAGGGGTTAAAAATTTTAATTTATGCTGTGAAAGGTAACAAATGAAATAATGCACATGCAACATAATATAAATGATATAGGAAACTATTGGTGGTTCTTGAAAAGTTAAATAATGGTTTGTAAACATAAGATTATTTATTTTCAGCTGTTACAATCGTCCCTTTACTTATTGTTACAATCGTCCTCAAGACGCCATTTCAGCTGCATTTGTCAAAACAATGCTAGTTAATTAACAAAACTAATATTTTTTTTTTGAAATGTTAATTAAGGTGTCCACTTAAATATTTGGTTAATAATTTTTATTTGTTTAAACAAAATTATTTACAATATAATATTCTAACACCAAAAAAAGTACTTACGTAGCGTGAAAATGTCTTTTGTGATGTAACTCTTTCAAAAGTACATAAAAATGGTTGCCAGCAGGGGTGTGCATGTAGATTTATTAAATACACCTTGTGCGCCACCTAGGAACCAAATCTAGAACCCGACACTCGAAATTTTTGCTCTGTTACAATCGTACCCTGTTACAATTGACCCACCCCACTCTCCCCTATATTTGTCAGATGTATATATTAGGTGTCTATTTGTCATTATATTTTTTACTGATATATTTAGTTGTTGGCAGGCTTTTAAAGGAATAGATAAAAAGGAAATTTCTCTGTTGCTTTCTTATTGTATATTGACAGTTATTTGTTGGTGATTTAAGAATTCTTCATGAAAAAGGTTTTTATTTCAAACATATTTTTTATTTTCCAGTTCAAGTTAACTGAGTTTGGTACTCTCGAAATGATAAATGATGACATTTTTACTGCTTCTCCTTCTCCTGTTAAGCCTATCAAAGAAGAAACCTCTGTGGCACCACCAGAAGACAACGCTTCTGAGACAAGACAAAAACCTGTAAAGAATAAAGAAATGTATCAGGATGGTTTGTATTTTATCTATAATTAACTTCATTTTAAAATAGTTTTTTTTAATATATATTTTAAATAAATTAAACATTTATTTTTTTATTATCTTTATGAAATAAATTTTGTATTTTTTTTTAGAAAGTAAACCTAGCAATAGCTCAACATGTAGTACATTAAAAAGAATACGAGTTAGTAGACAAAATAATTACAAGACATTTTGATTCTGAAATAATAAAAACTTAAGTAAAAAAAAATAATAAATCTAAAATTACATTTTCCCTGTATTTGATTTTGAAAATTGATTTTGAAAATTCTTGCAAAAGTTTATTAATAAAGATAATACAAAAATTGTTTCATTTTGAAATAATTTTTGAGAATTCAAAGCAAAACAATTTTCTTGATGCTTGCTAATAATTTTTTTTCTGGACTAGGGGGCTGGATCCCCTGTTTGTTGTTGCTCACCTACCCCCACAATAATTGTTGTTTTTTAGTAGAAAACAGTTTTTTTTATTACTAAAGTTGAAATTGTTTACTTAATATAATATATATACTAAAAAGAATTCTATTTGCTTATTCTTGTGCCTTCACTTATTTGCTTATTCTTGTGCCCTCAAAAAAGTAAATGCAAATTTTTAATTTTTTAAAAATTTTATAGTATTTCTCTGTGTATTATGAAATAAATATGCTTAAAGATATTGTTTTTAATACTTATTTACATTTTTGTGTTAAAATTAGTTTTCTGTTAATTAAATTTATGATGCCCGGTGGCTGAGCGGCAGCGCTTCGCGCTGTCATGCCACAGGTCCCTGGTTCGATCCTCAGGCTGGGCAAGGCTGACTATGCCTTTCATCCCTTCAGTGCGTCGATAAATGAGTACCAAGCATGGTTGGGAACTAAACACTGGGGGTTCCGCGTTCGGCTGACCACCGGAACATCTGCTCCTGCACCCCAGACCCCAAGGTCAAGAAAACTGAGATGGGCACAGTAGGCCTTGGCCCTCATGGGCTGTCGCGCCGCTGAGTTTAGTTTAGTTTAGTTAAATTTATGTCTCTTTTAATGTCATAAAAAAATCATTTTTACGCCTTAGTATTTTTTATATTGAGTATTCTTAAAACTCTTTTTTTTTTTTTAATGTTTTGTATTAAAGAACTTAGCATTTTCTATTGATAATGCCCTTTATTTAACAATTTTTCTTTTGCAAACTTTCTGTTTCTTTCTTTTTTTTCTTTTTTTTTTAAAAAATTATTGAAGCTTTCAGTTTTAAAACGGTAAAATTTACAAATTATTAAAAAAAAATTAATTTTACTTTTATTTTTAGAAAGTAGCATTGACAAAATTCCCCAAACTGGGCCAAAAGACCAAGACATGTCTGAAGAATTATGCCGTTGTGAAAATTGCAATTGTTTTGGCTTGAAAGGAGAGTTTTGCAAAGGTGGACGTTTTTGTAGTGAGTCTTGTGCCACAGCTTTTAACAACAAGTAAGTTTTAAAATATTTTTATGTTAAATTTTCTGCTTTCATATGTTTCATATGGGTTTTCAAAATTTAAACAAATATACTGTGAAGCATAGTTAGAATTATGAGAGACAAAACTTTCAGATTAGTTAGTAATGTATATTAAAAAATAATTTGTATCCTAATTGTAGTTCTGTTAAAAATACTTACTTCTCCTTTTTCTGGCTCTACAATACAGGGTTAATTTAAGGTAGGATTTGCAGCTCGGACTGTACTTTTAATAAAAAAACCCACCCTGCCTGTCCTTTGAACTTGATTATGTGCTCCGATATATTAATGGGGGGGGGGAATCTATTTGCTCTGATTATTTTTATTTTATAAATCCACATTGTTGTCTGATCGTTTTTGCGGCAGTAATAAATTGTTTTTCGGCTGTAATTAATTGTGTTTCGACCGTTTCTGTATGATGGTGCATTTAATACATGACTACATTAATACAAACTCTGGCATTTAATACAAACTCTGGTACATTTAATACATTGTTATCACATATGCATTTTGAACTTGAGCTATCACTCATTTGAAGTGTTCCAATTCGTGATGATTTTATTGTTATTTTGTGCCGTTAGATAATTTTTTCGGAAGCTATTTATCCTTTTTTTGCCTTTTTCGCATGGGTTTTTCAAATTTGATTTTTTTAATATGATAAGATGTGCAAATTTATATTATCACTTTTTGACGTGCTCGATCCCTGACTATTGTCTCAATTGTCATATTCGTCTCTATTGTCTGAATTCCTCAGTGTCTTGGTGATGGTTTTTTCAGAAATAAGCATTTTTTTTTGCTCTTTTTACATGGTTTATCAAGTTAGATATGTTCAATATGAAGATGTTACGATGTTTGAAATTCGAATGATGGGTTTATCGGCAGTGATTTATCATTTTATCGATCCTTTTCATACGGTATTTCAAATTCCAATATTTCAAATATGGTCTTATTACTAGGTTTGATTTGTGATGATTCTGTTGCAATTTCATGTCGTCAAATGATATTGGGTTGTTCGGAAAGTTCATGTCAATTCTATTGTACTGGATTATGTATGAGGCAAATTTAACGGACCACCCAATAGTCTTTTTGACAGTTAATTATCATTGCATAAACCCTTTTTAAATTCAATTTGTTTAATACAATTATATTACGACATTCAAATTTCGAATTTGAGTTATCATTTTTAAGGTATTTGTGATTGTTGATTTTTTAAGGCATCAATTTGTGACAATTCCATCATAATTAACGTCGTTTGGTGGTAGTTTTTTCAGTTGTTATTTATCATATTTTCTGTCTTCTATACATGATTTTTTAAACTCTGGTATTTTTAATGTGTTATTACATTACATGAATTTCAAATTTGAGTTATTAGTTTATGACACGTTTGATTCGCGATGACACCATCATAAATCTACATCATCTTCTGGTCATCCTTTGGCCATTTCTACTTGTTTTTTTTTTATTCCGATAAATTTTATGCGATGTTATTACAAGATAGCTTTTCAATTTAGAGGGTCACTTTTTGACATGCTCAATTCAGATAAATTTTATGGTAAATCCAAGCGTTTATGAATCTTTTTTTTCTTCTTCTGGCATCTGTTTGCCATTTCTTTACTATTTCCGTGTTTAATTCATTTGTAATTAATACAATGTTATGGATAGCGAATTTTATATTAAGTAATCACTTTTTTATGCGCTCGATTCTTGAATGTTTCATTATATTAATTTTCTATCACTTTTTTTGCAGTTATTGCAATTTTTATTGTTTTTCATTCATTTCGATATCATTTTTAAAATCCTGATATTTTTAATGAGTTATTATGGCAACTCCATTTTGAAAATTCCAGAATTATGCTTATTTTAAAACCAATTTATGGAGTGCACAAATTTAACCGAGGATTTATTTATTCTCTTATTTTTTTTAAGAAAAAAATATTTTTTTAAATGGTGAAAATAAGAACTTTGTATATTTTGATGTCTTAAAAGATACACAGATATTTTATGCTTGTGAACAGTGCTCTTTTTTAGTGGGAAATAGGGTTCTTTTCAGTTTCTAGCACCCTACCCTTTTTGAAGTCTAGGATGTTACAATTTGTAGTGGTCATTGGGATGTTGAGCAATGTTATTCCAAACCTTATTTTCCTTAGCCTTAGATTTCCACTTTTTATGGCTAGATTTTTTATTATATTTATATAACTATCTTTTCATTATGTTCCAATTAAAGATTTTTCTGAAACCATCATTTTGGTTTATTCTTACTGATGCCTGCAGTTCATCGTGCTTAGCATTTTGATTTCATGAATTGGATGTTTTTCTGTCACAGTCAATTTTGTGACTGTTTCTAGTTTTCCACAGTGAATTGTTTATTGTTTAAATTCATAAATTGAATTTAAAAAAATCTTAAAATTTTCTTTTGATTACTAATATATTTTTATCTTTATTCACCCAACTATAAAGCTATACTTATTAATTATTTTTGTTAATATATAAAAAATTTTTACTTGCGATTCGTCTTCTTTAGGTAAACACAATACCTAATTATAAAATCTGCAATAATTACTTTATTAATGGTTACAGTTTTTAAAAATTACTCTTAAATTATTTTTAGTATATTTTACTTATTTGTTTTAAAATGACTTAAATTCTGTTTTAGACGGAATACAATATTAAAGAGAGGAGCCACCCGTGAAAAGACTAAAAAGAAAAAAGTAAAGATTGAAAGTAGTGAGGTATGTTGATTTTTTATAATGTATGTATTTGAGTATATAATTCTAAAGCCAGTGTAAGTTAACAAATATAATTTTACATAAAATGTGACTTGAAATTCAGCCTGTTAAAAAATTAGAAGTTGCATCATAAATTGTAAATTAGCTTCTTGCTCGCCTATGTGTTAGGGATATGTTTTTTACGTATGCAGGGTATTCTAAATATGGTTTTTGTAGAAGTATTGCACAGGTCATACATAGTTTTATAAAAGTACTCAATATCCACAGTTATTGCATGGAAGGTCATCTTGGTGTCAATTATGTTTAATTTTGTAATTTATCTCATACTCTTTGTTGGAGAAACAATTTAGGCTCTGTAAGCCTGGTGTGTATGCTCAAAATTGTATTTTTGTTGCATACAATAGCATTATCTTCTCATAGTAAACGTCAGTGAATTTAAAGTTTTTTTCTTATTCTGCAATTTATTCATGTGTCAGTTACTGAATTTTACTTTCATTAATTTTAGTTTGTATATTTTTAGTGTGTGTTTTAAAATGTAAAAATTTATTTTTTAATATGAATATCCATATAAATTCACATATATTTAGAAACAATCAAATTTTAACCATGATATTTAGTTTATTGTATAGCATAGCACTTTTAGCACAGTAAAGAATTTTTTTGCTCAGAAGCAAACCCTGGTTCTCTCAGTCCTGGCATGTTTTAAGCTTGCTACGAAATATATTGCACTTCCTTATCCTTAATGATTTCACTGAAATTTCCAATTTATATAAGGAGTGCTGAGATTTGTCAATTAATTCACTTATTATTATCATTCAAGCCAGGAAACCAATTGATTGAAAAAAAAAGTTTTTATATTATGACATCAAAAAAATAAAATAATTTTAAGAACAAGTAAAAAAGATAAAAAGTAAAAAAAAAGCATTAAATTACATGAAGTTTGAACTTAAATGAATAAAAGAAATAAGAAAACATGCTTAAGAAAACAAACTTAAGAAATAAAAAAACATGCAATTATGCATTTCATAGTTCTGATATAATGGGTCTTTTAGGTTTCTTAAAAAAATGCTATTTAAGAAGTGGTTAGAGTAAGTGTCACACATTATGTGAATGAAGAAACTTACTGAGTCAGTTGAATTAAAATAAAGTTTTGTTAAACTTCATATGTTTTTATGCTTATATATAAACAAAAATTGAACATTTTAAACAAATTTAATTATTCTTAAAAATGTATAGCTGTTAGTTAGTTTTCTTGTAGTAATGGGATTTTATAATTTCCTATTAAATGTCCTAAAATATTAAATAGTTTAAGCTATCTGAATTTTTTTACTATGCAATTTAATTAAGAAATGTCCAATGAAAAAAAAAAGGAGTTTTTTTTAATGTAATTGACTATTTTTTATAAAGTTATTTAATTAGAAAATTTCCAGTAAGCTTCCAAATATTTTTTTGAAAAATATATTATTGGTATGATATTAATTTAGATTTGTTCTGCATATAGTTGCCCGATACAGATTGAATTCATTTATTGTATAACACTAAAATAATATTAAACTTACATTGTTGCTACATGGTCAATATTTTTACACATAATTCGAACTTGGTTATTAAAAACCTTTTGACCTTCCTGCTCTTAAGGTAAGAGTGTATTTAGAAAAAATTAGACTAATTATTTGAAATATTTCAGTATGTTTCAAAATGTATGTGTTTGTATTTTCTTGAAGGATACTCCTACTTCTGAAGTAAAAACTGATATTAAGACAGAAGATTTTAAAAAAGAAATTAATGAAGATAAAATAGTATATGCTGAACCAAAGAAAGAGGAATTTTCATGGGATGCTTATTTGAAGAAGGAGAAAGGTATTGCTGCTCCCGTCAAACTATTCAATGAGGTAAAAATGAATTTTTCTAACAAAAAAGGCATTCCAAGTGTCGCTTATAAATAATATTTTTTCTTTTGAATATCTAAGTGTTAGGGCAATTATTTATAAAGGTATTTTTTCATCAAAAACCTTTAAAAAAAAGAAAAAACTTAATTTAGTTTCACACATTGTGAAATGTAGTTAGTATCTTTCCAAATTTACTTTGCTTATACTATGGACTGTCACAATCTTATTTCAGACCAATTTACACAAAATCTGATTATACCTCAAAATATTAATCTGCGTTTGAATTTTTTTTCGCAATCAATAAATAATTTTTTTTCTTAAATCTTTTATTTTACTTGAATATCTATTTGTACTTTTTAAAACATCTGTTTTGTACTGTGGTTGTTTTCTATTCTGTGTTTGACTACCTATCATGAATTTTTCTTTAAAAATAATTTTCTTATTATTTTTTTCAAAATAAGAAATAGCAAATGGTGACGAATACCCATACAACTCATCATCATCTTATTCCTCTTCACTCCAAATTGGAGCATAGGGTTTCTATCACATTTCTCCATCTCATTCTTATTAGTGGCCAGATATTTTGCTTCTTTCAATGCCTGTCTTATTGTTTTTAATTCTATTTCAATCGTTTTGTGTTCTGTATTTCTAAGTTTTTCACTTTTTCTATTCCCCTGAGGGTTCCAATCGAAAACTAGTTTTACTTTAAATTTTACAGGTTTACATGGGACATGACCAATCCATTTAAGTTTACCTACAACTTTTACATATAACTCAGGTATATTAAAATTTGTGTCAACAGACATAAATGCAATAGGCCCAATAAATTACCTGTTATGATTAAGTTTAATTAATCTTATTATTTATTTCTTTTTCCTCTCTCTCTATGTCATATTAGGATGTCAACATATTTTGATTTGATCAGCAATTATTTTGATTTAAGAACAATTTTTATTTATAAAAAAATAAAATTTTTTGCTTGACTTTAGAACATTTATTTTGAGGTTGGAAGAATTCTGCAATAAAAGTATTTAGTATGTTATTGTTAAAAGATTTTAAATTCACTTTAAATATTAAAACTTTTAATTTTTAAATTAAATTAAATTTTTATAAAGTTCATAAGTTTATATTTTAATTTAAATAATTTCTACAATAATGTAAAACCTTAAGAACATTAATAGTATTTATAATTAACCCTTTGCTCACTGCACTTAGCTCTTCTGTGCACCTATACCAGGCATAACCAAAAGGTTAGTAAAGTACAGAAACTAATTGAAACTGTGGTTATAATGTATAAATGACAAGATCTATAGGATTTTTAGCTGATGAAATTTAGTCAAGTCCTTTATATATAATACAATAATACATATTAACTTGAGTTGATTTTTTTTTAAAAATTTGAATTGAGAAAGAGATAAACAAAAATATGTAAATTAAGTAATTAAGTTTGCATAATTGTTTTTTTAAAATGGGAAAACCCTTTTTTTAGAAAATTATGCTTGATCTGAATGATCAAAATCAAATTTTACTGGATAAAATGTTATAACAAAAAAATTACACGATTGCATAGCTTTCTGATAAATGAGCTCTGTGACCAAAATAAAGATTTAAAACATATTTTATTGAATAACTTAGGTTTGTAGTTGTTTTTTTGTTTGTCAAGGTTTGTAGTTGTCCCAATATCATTCTTATTTTCAGCTATTTTTTTTTATTTTTTACTTAACTCATTTAAATTAAAATTTTTTTTTCTTTTTCTCTAAAAACCCTCACCTTTCAAAAAAAAAAAAAAGAAAAAAAAAAAAAAAAAGGATTCATTTCAGTGGCACGACTCTGTTGAATCAGCTTTTAAGACTAATTGGTATGAGAAATTGATAGACCAAGTCTATAAATTAAATAGGCTGTAATGAAAGAATTGTTGAGAGAGCCTTTAGCTTCCCTGTAATGTAAAATTTAATAATGATGAATAGTTATTTAAGCAAAATTGTGATCAGCACTATGATAAGTTTAGGTGTGTCTATCTTAATTAATATATTTTTCTTTTTAAATTTTAGAATCAAATGTATCCGGATAATGGAAATGCTTTTCAAGTTGGAATGAAATTGGAAGGCATTGATCCAAAGCATCCTTCACTATTTTGTGTACTCACGGTGAGTGAAATCAAAGGATACAGAGTAAGGCTGCATTTCGATGGGTATTCTGAATGTTACGATTTCTGGGTGAATGCTGATTCACCTGATATATTCCCAGCTGGATGGTGTGAAAAAACAGGCCACATACTTCAGCCACCCAAAGGTAAGTTTCTGATAATAATTACTCTAAAGCAGCAGTTCCGGAGTTTTTTTGGCTGTGAAACCCTGAATGTTTAGTAGTTGTGGCAAATTAACATGAGTAAGACTACTAATTAATTTGGGAAGTATAATATGAAAAATAGATTTTTTGTTCTTTTTTATCAATAATAATCTTAAAATTNATGAGGAATTGATAGACCAAGTCTATAAATTAAATAGGCTGTAATGGAAGAATTGTTGAGAGAGCCTTTAGCTTCCCTGTAATGTAAAATTTAATAATGATGAATAGTTATTTAAGCAAAATTGTGATCAGCACTATGATAAGTTTAGGTGTGTCTATCTTAATTAATATATTTTTCTTTTTAAATTTTAGAATCAAATGTATCCGGATAATGGAAATGCTTTTCAAGTTGGAATGAAATTGGAAGGCATTGATCCAAAGCATCCTTCACTATTTTGTGTACTCACGGTGAGTGAAATCAAAGGATACAGAGTAAGGCTGCATTTCGATGGGTATTCTGAATGTTACGATTTCTGGGTGAATGCTGATTCACCTGATATATTCCCAGCTGGATGGTGCGAAAAAACAGGCCACATACTTCAGCCACCCAAAGGTAAGTTTCTGATATTAATTACTCTAAAGCAGCAGTTCCGGAGTTTTTTTGGCTGTGAAACCCTGAATGTTAAGTAGTTGTGGCAAATTAACATGAGTAAGACTACTAATTAATTTGGGAAGTTTAATATGAAAAATAGATTTTTTTGGTTCTTTTTTATCAATAATAATCTTAAAAATTTGGTTTTATGTCATATAATTGAAGGGGATAACATCAAGTCCAATACTGAGTTGGTTTTGAGGGTTCACACAAGCTGAAAATGAATAAAATAAACTGAAATTTAAAAAGAAGGAACAATTACAAAGATTGAGAATAGTTATCAAAGAAGAATATTTCTTCATTGTTTAAGTCTTTTGATTTGGAAAGGCTGATGTGAAATACTAATGCCATTTCTATAATTGCATGAAGATTCATTTTTTTATTTTTTATACAGTATTAAAAAACTTTTTTTTAAATATAATTTCTCTTTTTTTGGATCTAACTACTTTTAATTTCTTTAAGTTTAAGAATCCAACTTCGCATGATTTGTAGTAAATATTATTATGTGTTCAAAAAATCATTCCTAGTTTAAAAAAAATTTTTGGACCTCCTGCGACCCTACAACGGAACCCTTCGGTTTTCTGGACCACCCTTTGGGAACTGCTCGTCTACAGCTTACATATGTTTGCTGGAGAAGGTAGCATGTTTCTATCATGGGCATACTTTTTATTGCATATTTTAATTACATACAAACCCTAAAACTGTAAAGATTTTTAATACTGATATTGGAAACATGAAATTTTCATCAAGCTTTTATTTTAAGAATAACTATTAAAGGTTGAATAAAATGCACACAACACTTGTTGGTAATCAAAAATAAGCAAACATAAAGTTTGAAAGCACTAGGCTAGTTCGTGAAAATGTATTCTACGACTTTTGTTTTGCATGCATTTTATTTTAATCTATTTTTTTATGTGTAAATTCATTAATATTGCTCATATCACTTGTTCTTTAAACGTGAAAAGTTATTCCTGAAGTTTTAATATGAACAATTATTTAAAATTTACAACATTTTTTGAGTAAATTATGAAAACTTAAAATTATACAATGGGGGTATTTCTTACCTTGTTTTAATATGCCGTTACTAAAGTGTCTTTTTTCAATCTAAATCTGTTTTACATAAACTTTTATGCATTTTTAAATGGAATATGTTTTTAATGGTAAGTTTTTTTTTAAGTTTAAAAGTAAAAAGATTTATTATTTTACTGTAAAAAATTTATTCAAATATCTAGGTATTTCTGACTATGATAGTTTTAAGTCTGTCTGTTATATTATCTCTTGCTTTTCTCCTTGTATTTTATGGCTTTTTTTCGGACTTACATGAACTAAACTTGGCCTTTCTTGTTTGTCCAGAAAGTTTTTTACAATTTTTGAAATTTATTGTTGCTTTCTTCTGTAAAATAAATAATTTTTTTAAAAGTTAATATAATGAAATAGTATTTTATTTTATTAATTTAAACTTGTGATTTTAGATTACAGACCCCAAGATTTCAATTGGGACAGTTATCTGAAGGCTACAAAGTCTGAAGCAGCACCAAAAACTCTTTTTAGTTGTAAATCTGGCATGGTACAGTTTAATTTTTTCTTTTACTCTATTATTATTGTAGATAATACTTTAAATTTGGATGCTTAAAAATTTTTTAATATCTTTCTGAAACAAAAATTCATTTTAGAAAACTCTTGTATTTAAGAAAAGATTTTCTACTGTAATTTATTTTTCTGAATTATATTAAGAGTGTTTCATTTTGAATACTAATATCCTTTTACCCTTGTAATTTAGAGTGCAAGTCCGCATTTTAGACGTGGAATGAAACTTGAAGCTGTGGATAAGAAGAATTATTCTCTTGTATGTGTTGCAACTGTGACAGATGTTATGGATAACAGATTTTTAATTCATTTTGATGGTTGGGAAGATGTTTATGATTATTGGGCCGATCCATCATCTCCACATCTTCATCCTATTAATTGGTGTAGAGATAATGATCGTTTCCTGACACCCCCTAAAGGTATAGATAAATATGGTTATATTTTAGTGCATTTTTTAGTTGTTGGATCAGCAATTAAGTGAAATATGGTTATGCTTCAGTACATTTTTTAATTGTAGAATCAACAATTAATTTAAAAGCATCTATATTTGAGTGAATTTTTTTGTTGTTAGATCAATAATAAAATACATTTTTTTAACTTTCTTTTTTGTCTAGTAATAGACTCTTGTTTTGAATCTTTTCCAACTTGTTAGAATGCTCAAATTTTAATTGCAGCTCTGTGCCTGATTACTATGCAATTTTCTATAATTTTCTGACCGCTACTAGCAGAGTTTATTGGTATATTATCAAAAAGAGGAGTTTATTGTTATACTCCATCATTTTTTAAATGAAGAGGATTGCAGAGGCAAGACCAAAAACATAGGATTTAAAAATGAATTGTTTGAGTGAAATTAAAGAACGATGATATCTTAATGCTTTTTCTGGCAGTGTTTTATTCACTGTATAGAATATAGCAAGTGTTGTATATAAATTGTGTGTTAAACTTCTCTCTACATATATTCACGTTAGGTAGTAGTTAGTTGTTTCACTGTTTTAATATACATTACAATTGGTTACAATATAATAAAATGAAAATAAAATTGTACACTTGCAAAACATTGTTGTGAGTTTTGACTAGTTTTACATTTTCCTACAAAATACATTTAGTTTTCAGGCTTGAATCAGCAGATTTGAATTTTCTGGAAGGGTGGAATCTGTTAGGGTCACAAATATTTTGTTTGCAATTCAAGCATGTACAAAAATTGTGACACTTTTGATCAGGAAAAGTTCAACCAAGTTCTTCGTTGTTACCTTCTTTTTAACAAATCTGCAAGAACGAATATCTTTGATCAAGATCTCTAGTAGGATAAAGTTAGCTCAAAAATTTTTTTAAAAAAAAGTATAACCTAAGTATACAATGTTACCCGTGTTTAAAAAAATGCCTGAGTTTTAATTTTTTTCAACCTAAATATAATTTTATTTATTCAATTTATGTTTACAAGTATTCTTATGTTTCATTCTCTAATACTGTTCTATTTGTATGACACTTACTAAATGTTTTTTTACTGATCTCTTATTTGTACTCTCACCAGAAGTTAAAGACCCTGCATCTTTTAATTGGACAAAGTACCTTGCTGATACTAGAGCTGTAGCTGTTTCTCCTAGAGCTTTCAAGCAGTGCCCTCCAAATGAATTCAAAGTAGGTATGAAATTAGAAGCAGTTGATAGACGCAATCCTATGTTGATTAGAGTAGCAACTATCGGAGATAGGAAGGATTTCAGCTTGTTGATTCATTTTGATGGCTGGTCTAGCGTCTATGATTTTTGGGTGGATGATGACAGTCCTGATATACACCCAATTAACTGGTGTCACAGAACTGGACATCCTTTAGAACCACCTGCGGGTAAGTAACTGATAAAATGTGCATAAAAATATTTGATAAAAATGTGCATTTTAGTTGATATATGCATGTTTCCTGTTTTAGTTACCGCCCCAGGGCAGCCTGGTCCCTGTCCAACAGCTGGATGTCTCGGTCAAGGGCATATCAAGGGTCCAAAGTATACCACTCACCATAGGTATATTATTATTGTTAGATACTCACTGGCCCCTTAATGAACCTTATTATTTTTTTTAAAAAACTTTTGTTAAAACTTCCTGTAAATTTAGGCATTGGTGTCAATAGTCATTTTAATCTACTCTTGTCTGCTAAACGGTGTCCTATGATTCAAAATCACTTATCTATCCAAAACTACCTTCTTATATCAAGTTGCTTGAAAAATCACTGTTTTGAGCGATTTTTTTTTTAAATTTTTGCTTTTAAATTATTATTTTGAGTTTTTATAAATTTGAAATGCTTACTTTAATGAGCATGGTTAAGTAGCATTTCATTGAATTTTAAAAATATGTATCAAAACACGCAGTTTGTAAAGCATCTTTTATCAATCTGTGACTATATTTAAAGTTTGATACATTTATATGCTTACAGCCAATCATAGTAGTCTTAAACCTGTTAATAAAAAGAGTTATCATAATGTCACTTAAGTTTTTGCTCCTTTGTGATTCGAAGGTATGGGGATGTTTTCAAAAGCATAAGCTTTTGAGTTTAATTGGTTATCCATTTGCTAGGTTTTAAGAACACAAAGGTAGAAGAATGTAAATTTAGAGTTTTTAGAGGCTACTGCCTCACTGTCCCAAACACAAAAATAACCCTCTATTTTAAACTTTAAATAGATAAGTTTACCTTTGAGTTAAAGTTAAGCATTGGTGTAACTGACTTTATAGCTATATAAATTATTCTAAAGAATGCAAGAAACGGAAACAATTAATTTCATATAATTATCTAAGGAGGAAATCATGCCATATAATCGAAATTGTTACCTATTTGTCAACTATACGGAAGAAAAAGATGCTATATTATTGTCTGTGTGATTTTTTTTTTATATCACTGATAAAAATATTAATAGATCAATTAACATAGTTTTTTGTCAAATACTCATAATCACTTATCACAATTTTAACTTTATCAAATTTAAAAAATATTTCATAAAAATCTATCTATTTGATATAGCTCTAAGGTTTTTCTTGATTTAGCCCTTAATTATTAACTAATTTAGTGCTTAAAAACATTTTATGTTAATTCAGTTATTTGCTGAAAAAATTTATTTTTACTATAGTAAGGCGATTATTTTTCTGCCTGGTCTTGGTACTTATCTTGTCCTAAATTATTAGATTTTTTAGTCTAATTAAAGGCAGAGATATTGGAAATCTTTTTTCTAATTATGAATTGACATTAGTTTATGTGCATAATTATATATTAAAACTATAATTCATTTAAGAATAAAGAGAATCAAACCATTTAACTTATTATTAAAAGGGGTAAAAGTATCACATATCAAAAAGGAGGGGATAATAAATATATATTACTGCTAATTAATAATTTGTCATATAAGATAGACCTAAAATTGTATTCAGAAATTTTTGTTCAGTGAATAACATTTAAATTATAAATAAATCACATAAATACTGATTCTGATCAAAATAAAAACTTTTGTGGTTTATTACCGTTTAAATTAATGTAAAATTTTTTTTATAATTATTCGGCTGCTTTTTTGATCTTCAAAGCTTATTTATTTATTTTAGTGCCTTTGGCTGTCCCTATTCTCAAATTAACATCAATAAAATGGATTCTAATTTTCAAGATAGAGTTATTATTACGAAAGAATCCCTGAATGAATTTACGAAAAAGATATCAGAACAAGGTGGTGCAACTGACGGATTAAGGTACGTGATTCAAAAACGTTATATTGCCTGCAAGAAAGTATTTAATAAAATCAGTTGCTTAAAAACATATTTCAATGAATGGATTTTGCTCAAAATACTTTTTTTTTTCCAGACGTTGTCCTACTCCTGGTTGTAATGGAGTTGGTCATGTGAAAGGTAAATATTCAGTTCACCACAGAGTGTCTGGATGCCCTCTTGCCGAAAAGAATGCTCTTAAAGTGCAACAAACTAGTTCCACAACCACTTCAGCTGCTAGTCCTAACTCATCACCATCTTCTATATCATCATCTGCCATTAGTGCTGTAGATACAAAGCCAGTTGATATTCCCAAAACAAGGAATGGTGTCGGAAGGGGGAAAAAGAAGTAAGTGATGCATATCTATCTATGCATACATACAGGGTTCCTGAAAGTATCAAAGCAGTCAAATATCTAAAGGAACACACAACTGATAAAAAATATGAAGATACACGTATAAAGTATTTTCAATAAATGCAAATTGATTTTTCAAAGTTTATTACATGTTGACAATTTTTTTAAAGAAGATATTTCTATTCTGTGAACATTTTAATTATCCGATCCCACTTACTTCGAATTATAAATTTATTACCATATTAATGAAATATAACACCATTTAAAGCTGAAAAATTCTGTGATGCTTTTCTATGAATTCATTTTAATTACAAGATTTTACTTCATATTGAATTTTGGAGAAAATCTCTTCATGTAAATTCGAAAGGTAAATTTAATGTTATCTATTGTAGATAACAATAATAATTAAGTAATAATAAACTCTAATGTTATACTTTTATTAACTTTTATAACATATTACGAACTTTAATGTTAAGTATAACATTAAACTCTAATGTATTTGGTGATGACATTGTGTTAGTACTATTTCATTGTTCTATCAAGTTTATAATTTTTGTTAGACATGTTTGTTTTGATAAATTTACGTAATTTCTGAACATGTTTCTAGTTCCAGTAAGCTTTTTAACCTGTCATCAATTCTACATGTAGAAAGTCTGATTTTTTTTATCCTCCCAATTACTCGTGGTTTTATCCTCCGATACAATTGTACCTACAAACAGTTTTCCACCTATAAAAAAAATTTCAGTTTTTTTTTTCCGCTGAAAAACCCACCTTTCTAGAATTAGATAAGGAAAAAAGTAGCCCTTCCATCAGTAGGTTAAAAGACCAGAACCCAGCTTAATATTTTTCATTAATGTTAATGCATTATTTTGAAGTTTTTCCATATTTTAACAATTTTTCATCTGTATATAATCTGTTATTTAACTATATTAAGCAATAAAATTCTTGTAGATTCAAAGTACCTGGTTTAAGAGGAAGACCTCCAAAACATATGTGTAAGTAATTCATTCAATTTTATCACCATAAGTTTTTCCTTTTATTTTAAATATAATATTGGCTCAGTTTTCAGTGTCCCTATAGTATTAAATTTATTTCTGCNTTTTCATTAATGTTAATGCATTATTTTGAAGTTTTTGCTATATTTTGTTTATTATTTTAACAATTTTTCATCTGTATGAATCTGTTATTTAACTATATTGAGCAATAAAATTCTTGTAGATTCAAAGTACCTGGTTTAAGAGGAAGACCTCCAAAACATATGTGTAAGTAATTCATTCAATTTTATCATCACCATAAGTTTATTTATTACTAGTTACACCTTTTATTTTAAATATAATATTGGTTTAGTTTTCAGTGTCCCTATAATAGTACAGTAGGGAACCGATTATCCGGAACGATCGGGACCATCGATATTCCGGATAACTGATTTTTCCGGTTTTCTGAATCTCTACAAAAAGCCGTTTTTTTTATAGTTAAATCCAACTAAAAAAAAAAAAATTAGAAATAATCTTAAAAAGAAGAAAAAATAATGAAGTAATTACACTAATGATTATTTCCAAAATGATGATAAGGTAAACAGTTTTCAAAAAAGAACAAAAAATCCTAAAATCTTATGAGGGAATTTTTTTTTCTTCTAAAAAGCGGGAAAACTAATTGAATTTTTTTCCGGTTTTTTGGTTTTCCGGATAACGGGTTCTGTACTGTATTAACTTTTTTTGCTGCCAAAATTGTGCAGAATTTTTTTTTATGAAACTTATATTTATTAGTCCACACATCTATTATGTAACAACTTATAATGCATGATTAAGAATAAATACTTTAAATTTATTTCTTATACTATTTTAGATATTTTTAGTAATTTGAATGTACTTATTTAAAATAGAGATTTTCTCATGTTCATAAGATCAGAAGAAACTTTTATTCATAGAAATTAGCTCACCTTGATTATTAATTCAACTCACCTTGAATTGTAATCAGTTCTTGGTCAATTATACATTTTCCATAGGTGATGCCTTATAATTTCACAATAATGTACATACTCTTTTGTATTTTTGGATTGAATAAGCATTTTGAACCATTTGCCAGTGCTGCTCTTGAGTAGTGGAGACGTAAAGCTAACCAGTCTTTGAATCAGGCACACCTGGTTAACACACCTCCATTTACTGTTTGGACATCATAATACTCAATGTAGTACTTGCAGCACTCCTCTCATGATTCATAACTTTTTAGTTATTTGACCATCTTTTAACCGACATCGTTTAACGGTTTTTGAGAGTTCTATTTTAAGCATACAGGAACATTTTTAGCTACTGTTGGTATTTTTAACTGTATATAAATGTTTTAAATCTGTCTACAATTTTATTCACTTATACTATTTTATCAGTTATAATTGTACTACAATGTTTTTTTTTTTTTAAATTTTTTTTTACACTTTGGCTTTTGAACTGTTTTATCATTTTGGATAGTGCAGCATGTCCTCATTAAATCTTACATTCATTCAATCAAAACTTATTATATTATTTTAATTTTGACCCTCACTTAAAAAGTATTAGTTTGTATTATCAAAGATTTCATTCTTCACTAGAGTTCCGTAAAACATTAAAAAAAGTGATAGTGAAATATTTTGCAGTAAAAACCTGTTTTGCTGCATTTTGAATATTAAATTTTTTACAATAAAATATGAAGATTAAGCTCTAAAAGTGTGAGTTTAAAATTTTTTTTTTAGCTATTACTGAAAAAACATATTTTCATGTATTTTATATTTCCATGTTAGAATTACAGATTTTACCCTCTATTTCTAAAATTACATGTTTAAAATTTAGAAGATTTCTTTGATGTTTTTTAAACATAATTGAACTTTTCTATAATCTTTTTAAAAAGCCATTTTTAATATTTTGAGAAATAAATATTTTTTTTTACTCCTTTATGTTTACGAAAAAAGTAGCTACTAGAAATATTGTATTAATAGTTTACTAGGATTTATATGATAATGTTGATGTTTTCTTTTAAACATTTCTAGCTGTTTTACGTCTTGAAGCAATTAAGAAAGCTAGAGCAGCCAGTGAAAAGAGCAATTCTGATTTAGAAGAGAAAATTCATGATTCTGTTTTTAATGAACCCTTCATCACGCCACCTAAAGAACTCCCTCTATCTGTAGAATATAATACTCAGTTAATACCGGGTCTCAGTTCCATCAAAGGCAGTGCTGTGCGATCCTGGTCTGTAAACCAAGTTGCCAAATTTGTTTCTTCTCTCAAGGGCTGTCTTGATCAAGGTCGACTATTTCGAGAACAGGTAACAATATCATTTCTGCTTTCTATGCATGCATAGTTTTTCATGAATACAAGAATGCTTGTGTATGCAATTCCTTTTTTACTCATATATTTTATTTTATCACTCGCGCTCCTTACATCTTACACAGGGTTGCCACAGCACCAATTTCCAAATTTAAAAAAAAAAATATAGGGATTTTTTCTTTGAAAAAATAAAGAATAATCGTAGCTCACATAGCAAAATATGAAAAAACAGCCATGTCAGCCGTCCATCTACGGAAGCTCACAAATTGTTGGTTTGTTTTTCACCTTTCGGTTCTTCCTTTCTTGGTAGTATCGCCAGTTTAATTATTTCTCCCAAAGGATGACATTGCGAATGCATCTGTATTCCGATGTACCTCGTCAAAGGTGCGTGAAATATCTCAGTGTTTGTTTGGGTGACGGACTTAGCTAGAATGAATATTGCAATTCCTGTTTCCCGGTGAAGAAAATTCAATCTGTTCTGATATAGCAGTATGTTGATTTGCAGTTACAGGATGCGTTCTGAAAGTAATGCGCATTTTCTGGGAAAATATATTTATTGATCCTATGGGTGCAAATGGTTAAANATAGCTGCCAACTCTACTGGATTTTCCAGTAGACTACTGGATTAGGCCAGTTTCTCCTGGTTTACTGGTTTCATTAAAATTTCTCCTGGTTTTTGTACATTTTAGAAAATTCCCTAATATTGAGGAAATTTCCTAAAAAAAATCCTTATTGAAATAGAATTTTTGTGCAGATTATTGCTTGAATATTTAAATAAGTATTAATAATTCATAATGATGCAAACCTCATTTATAAAAAATAGTTCAACACTTTTTTTTTTGTTCAAAAATGTTCAGGTTATTTTTATTCAGAACTCTCTTTTTAATTTAATTAAAAAAATATTTTAACTATCTTTGATGAATTAGCCTATTACTATTCAAAATTCTGAGTAAACATCTACTGGATTTTTTCCTATCAGTGTTGGCAGCTATGCATAGTTTTTCATGAATACAAGAATGCTTGTGTGTATGCAATTCCTTTTTTACTCATATATTTCATTTTATCATTCACGCTCCTTACATCTTACACAGGGTTGCCACAGCACCAATTTCCAAATTTTTTTAAAAAAATTTAGGGATTTTTTCTTTGAAAAAAATAAAGAATAATCATAGCTCACATAGCAAAATAAGAAAAAACAGCCATGTCAGCTGTCCATCTACGGAAGCTCACAAATTGTTGGTTTCTTTTTCACCTCGGTTCTTCCTTTCTTGGTAGTATCTCCAGTTTAATTATTTCTCCCAAAGGATGACATTGCGCATGTATCTGTATTCCAATGTACCTCGTCATAGGTGCGTGAAATATCTCAGTGTTTGTTTGGGTGACGAACTTAGCTAGAATGATTTTTCTTCAGCGGGAAACAGGAATTGCAATATTCAATCTGTTCTGATATAGCTGTGTGTTGATTTTCAGTTACAAGGTGCGTTCTGAAAGCAATGTGCATTTTCTGGGAAAAATAGATTTATTGATCCTATGGGTACAAATGGTTTAAATTCTTCAAAATAGTTCCCTTGTGCACCAATATACTTGCGGAGACGATTCTACCACGTCTGGAAGGCATCCTGGAATTCTTCGACAGAAATGCCTCTCAGGAACCTTGTAACATGAGCTTGGATGTTCTCCACCGACTCCCAGTGCTTACCCTTCAGCTCTCTTTTCAGTCGGGGGAGCAGAAAAAAGTCACACGGCACCAAGTCAGGGCTATAGGGAGGCTGGGGCACCAACTCATCAATTCCAGCAATTCTTCACTGCTCAAAACTCGAACTTCTTTTTGTTCCTCCGTCAACACCTTCTGCACAAGCTTCGCACAGACCTTTCGCATTTGCAAATCCTCCGTCACAATCCCATGTACCACACATTTTGATAAGTTTAGGGTGTTAGCGATTACCTGATTGCTTAACCGACTGTCTGACTTCAAAACTTCACGCCCACGCTGAACATTTTAATTGGGTCGGGCTGTTGTTGGGCGTCCAGAACAAGGCTCGTCGGGGACCTTCTCCCGACCCTCCTTGGAGGCCTTGTGCCACCTTCCACACTGAGATCTTGAAATGCATTCCTCCTTAAAGTCGTCTTGAAGCATGTGATGAGTTTCCGTCGCATTCTTCCCAAGTCTTACACAAAATTTTATAGCGTACCGTTGTTCCAGCGATTGAACACTCCACCACGCCGTGACTCGATCGAAAAAAAGACTTCGCACGAAGACGCGTCCTACTTCTTGGAGCGACCTGAGACCAGGCTTGTTTGGAAGGACAAATCTCCCACCACATTTTTTGACCAATCTGAGTGCGCTGCGATCAATAGTCGCGTCACAATAAAATCATGCACATTACTTTCAGAATGCACCCTGTATTTTGTGTGTAAAAATGAGCTATTTAAAATCTGCATTTAATTCAGATTGGAAGGATGAAAATATCAGTTGCTGAATAGGGGAGAAAGGCAACCATTTGCTGCTTATTGTCCTTTAAAGGCTTAAATAATAAATTTTAATAATTAATAATGATTTAATTTTGGATGTTTATTTAAAGAAAATACCTTTTAATTATTTTTAAATTTTTAACCTTGTCTAGTCAAGAAAAAAAAAGTTAAAATTTACATTTCTTGTCTACTTATCACAAATTTCTGAGCAAAATCTGTTAGAACCTGACTGAGTTATACTGACCTATCTCTGGTATTTTCAAAATAATTGAAATATCAATATGAAATTAAAAAGCACATAACTTGCTCACTCTAGTTTTACAAATTCACAATAAATTTTTCAAAAGATTATTGCGAAATAACTAACTTTTGCATCTTAAACCATCTCTACATTTTATACTTTACTCTATTTTCAAAGTGGCATAATCTGTGAATTAAGCTGCCAATTTTTCTCCCTTCCAAAATGAAACATTTTAAACGGTTCTGCTATTAAGTAATTACTTCATTAAAAGCAAGTTTTGCATAACTTTTCCTGACAATTTCTTTTTTCGTGATTTACAAATCTTTCAATAATAGCTTTATCAACACCTACCTGTTGATTAGTCTTTATGTCCAGTTCAAATTACTCTAACCTACGATTTTTATTTTAATTTAACATTCATATTATAGTTAGTACTGTGCTTTGTTAAATTATTAGCTATGAACTAGCTTGAAAATTTTGGTTAAATTCTACATGCATTATGTAGCTTTAAATTTATGAAAAATAAAATTTAACAGTACACAAATCCTCCTTAAAGCTATCTCTCTTTTATTTGATTTAAATGTGTTCTTTATTTTAGCTAATTGATGGAGAAGCTTTGCTGGAGATGACGCAGTCAGATTTAATAAACATTTTACATTTAAAAATGGGACCTGCACTCAAAGTTTACAGTAGTATCGTCGCATTCAAAGAATCAGAAAAATTTGATTAACCTATATATCGTGCATTAGTGTTTAATTGTAGGCATAAACTGGGCCTCATTATGTGTCTTCAAAAGCTAACGCTCAAAGCTGTGTAGTTGTTGTATTAGTCTGCCCATTGCTCAAAAACTGTGACTTTGCTGGTGGTACATATTATATATGTAATTGTGAAACACCTAGTAGTGTTCTTTATCTAGCGTTGTTGAACTTTAAAACATTGCCATAAGGAATGGAGTGTGTGCGTGCTATGAAGAGAATCTATAAACTATGTTGTTAGTGAAATGTTTCTGATGTGATTTATTTTTATATTGGATGATTATATTTATGGGTGAATAGAACAGTTATGTGATGGTGGAAGAAAGCATTAAATAATACTCATTTTTCATATATCATGCAGTTTTTGGACTGTCTATTTTATTAGTAATATATTAAGAAATTATTTGTGATAAAATGAAACTGCCAAGTTGGATGTGAGTTAGTACTTGTTAAAGGTACTTTTTTTAAAAAAAAAAATGTTTTTTTTTCTCTCTTTCCAATCTGAATTTACTGAATCAAAATGTTTTTATTTTGTGTACTGACATTGTAAAAATTGTTGACACAATGTATGGTACAGAGACTGAAGTGAATGTAGAGATTATCGTGGAGGTTAGTCAAAGATTATGTTGTGTTTGAAAAATAAGAAAATACTATTTTTAGCATTTGTTAATTGTTTTCTTTGAAAACCTTCCAATGTGTGTTTCTTTCTTTCATTTTTTAAATAAAATTTAAAATTAGATTTCAGTTGGTAATTTTTGCTAAGCTGTAAAGTGAAATCTTCAGTGCATGATATGGTTTTTATTGTAAATTGTTTTGAAATTTGCTTCTTGTGCTAAATATGAGTTTTTACACTTTAGTTACGCATTTTTTATTTTTATCAAATGTATTCATCAGACCCTTTAGAGCTTTCTCACGAAACCAGTGAATTTTGTTAAATAATTGTATATCTTTCTTTCTCTATTGTAGCATGTAGTTCCTTAAATCAATTTTTCTTAATTATAGTTATTTTTAGAATTCCATGAATAGAAAAGGAATGTTCTCTAAGAATTATTTTAAATGGATTATTTAAAAAGAGGCTTTTTTTGTGGTAGTTAAGAAATGTGACATTTTTTAGCAAGACTCAAGATGACTGTCTAGTGAAATAGTAAATGATTTAAAATCAATGTAATCTTCATTTGAAAGCAAAAAAGGTCACATAGTAAAAGAGTTGTTTGATACAAGCTAGGCATGAATTTCGTCTAACTTTCTAAACTTTAATCTTGTTTCATGTATATAAAGCTTAACAGTTTGTTTGACTGCTAATTTTGCATATAGTTAAAAAAAAAAAAAAAGAAACTTTAAATAACTATGTATGAAAATTTTTTTTCTTTTGAATATGTATTCTCTCTTACTTTACATAAGTACAAAAAAAAAGTATTTTTTAAAATAACCTTTAATTTCATTAAAAATTTAAAAAATTATATTTTTTCTTAATCAAAATGAATTAATTATAAAATGCATGAAATGTGAAATTCATGAAAACATCCAGAGATTGAAATTCAATGTTTGCGTATAAAAATGAGTTTAAATTGACAGTGAAACTCCTGGAAAGACCACCTCTTTGTAGAAGCTTCCTCTTTTTGCAACTACTTTTAGGAGGCATGAATTTTCCCATACACACTGTATTAAAAAAAAAACTTTTAGGAGAGACCATCAAAAACTTCCCGCCTCCGGGCAAATCTCTACATCAAATGTGGAAAATATCAAATAAGGGAACGCAAAAAAAATTTAAACAAATAAGTAGCTTCAAGTGTATCCAAATTATTTGTGAGGCCATTTTGTATTTTTACTAATTCACATAAATAATGAAAGACTAGAAATTATCTAACTCTAAATATTTATTGAAAAGGACAAAACACATAATAAAAAAAAAATACAAGAATTTGGGAGAGGGGGTTTTGGGCTCGAATTAAACATCCGTACTTATCGGCGGTTCCTGGCAGACTGTCTTAGTTCACCGCCAGAGGCGCTGTAGTGGGAGAAGGAGGAAAGCTTGTCACAAGAGCTCTTTTTGATGATCTCTGAAAGAGATAATCTCTGAAAGAGATTGGCAGCCTCATGCTGCAGTCAAAGAGCAGTAAATACTATGATAACCATGATTTATTTTTAGAGTTGAAAATTAAATTAAAAAGAAAAAGTTATTTAAAAAAAAAAACTGAACATCTCAAACAAACCCTTTCTCATTTCTTAATTCTTTTTCTGTGATATAAAATTAAAGCCAAACTTAAACAAAAAGCATCATAATTGTTTATTTATTTAAAATAGCTCAATCATTCATAATTGGTAAATTTGTTTTTACGCATAATATATCAGTAAAGGTAGTTTTTATTGAAGTTAAATTTTTTTCATCGATCCAGTTTTCATGATGCCAACACAAGTGGCATTTTCACACCAAGAAAATGATACTGAGTAAAATTAAAATTTTAAAACTTAAATCCCGAAAAATTTAAATTTTGTGCAAAAAATGTTTGGTTGAGAAACATTAAATGACTTACTGGCTACTAAGGAATATTTCTTAAAAATAATGTAAGAGCATCTTTGAAAGCAAGCCCATCATGTAACTCACATACACACAGAACAGTATATCAAAGTAGACAGTAAACCAATGTCAGAATAATTACAACCTTCAAATACTTAAAGGTTGGATGAACTATCTTTCTGAGAATAGTATACATACATTATACTTAGTTCACAATATTTAAATGGACATTTTTTTCCCATTTTAAAAACTTTTCAACACCATTCATGTCATATTTCACAGCTGATACCTTGAAAATAGATAATGATTGTTCCAGTATTGCTGGAATAATCCATCTCACAATGAATGAAAACTCACTGAATATTCAAAAGAGCTCCCTCCCTTTCAGAAAATTGCAGGAAAAAGAAGCTAATTGTTAAGGAGTATATAATATATTAACAGTAAATTAATAAATCAAAAGAAACTAATTTCTAAAATTTTGGAGCTTTTTTCTTTCTTTTCTGATAAACTTCTTTAAAAAATTCAGAAAAAAGTTAACTTTCTTCAACATTTTCGATACAAATACTTGTATTTTTTCTTCAAAAAAGTAACAAAAAAAAAAAAAAGCCTAAAAAGATTAAAAGTATATTTAAAAAATAAAAAAGTGCAAGTAAAAGTTAGTACTTTTACTTTTGTTACAAGAAACGAAAGTAAAAGTTATGCCATATATGCTCATGCCTGACTTGCTGTTGTTGATGAGATTTAAGAAAAAATCGGTGTAAAATAAAATAATCCTTATGAATTATGATTCCTGTAAATTGAAATTGCTTATTTCAAATTGTCTTCCAGTAACTGTAGGTATTTAATAGGTTAAGAATTATATCTTAAATAATTTCATTATTTATTATTAATAATAATTGAACAACTTCCTTATTTTTTGCTTGTTTTAGCTTCATAAATATTTTAATCAGGTTTCTCAAAATATACTGTTATTCTCGACTAATAATATGGGTAAGAAAATAATTGTGCTTGATACAAATGTGTGCATTGAATCAAACATAAATGCATGTATTTTATGTTGGGCTAGATTTTTAAAAAATAATTTCCACTAAATTTACAAGCATTATTAAATATAATTTATTTTATAGAACTTTAAAAGACATTCAATAGTTTATATCTTATTACTCTTTTATAAACAAATTAAGCTTCTAAAGGGAAAAAATAGGTAATAATTCGAATAAAATGAAATTCAAATAAGGAATTCCTTTAAATGAACCAAGTACAAGTTTGCCTGCGTTGAAATTGGTGCATTTAGTTTTATTTTAGATTAATTAACAATCCCAACCTTGGTTTTATAGCAGTATTTTATTTTCACTCATTAAATTATCTCTTACATCATATAACTTTAGCTAGATGTAATTATAAATTATTAGATCAGATGCACAATCATTGAAAAGTTTTCCCATATAAGGTCGAATAGTAATAAGCCTAGAAGAAGGGACGATATTGCAGTTATCGAAGAAATTGATCACCTCTTATAATAAGATGTGTGTTTTATTATTGTTCAAGTATATATGAAAGCTCTTGGTTAAACCCTCATTTTTATCTCAAAGCATTCAACATAAAAATTCCTGTATTTTTTTTTATCTATATATTTGTATATCACATTTTTTCAAAATTTTTGGTATGACTTGCATTTCCCAAAATTTGAAAATTCTTTCTTATGAAATTTTTTGTAGTTGTGGATAACGATTAAAAAAATACATTTTGACCATTAACATAAAAAAATTTTTTTATTAAATTTTTTTTTTTAGACATGTAAATATAAAAATATTGTTTCTATCTCCTTTTACTCAATTTCAAACAATTTTGTAGAGCTATTAAGTTCAAATTAGTCATGTTAAAACAACTAATTAGTAAAACTCATACAACGATTGTATTATTTTTCTATTTATCTGTTCCTAGCTAAAAATTGTGTTAAAACAAAGATATTGATTTTTTACAGTTAAGGCTATTTTTAGTTCACTCAAAATGACACTTTTTTGGACTCATTATATTATATTATTGGTTATGATTTTTACGGACCATACATTTATGTAATGTTATTAATACTGATTAGTTAAAGAATTTATTTAGTAAAACATTTATATATCTTTCAGATAGGAACTTTAATAAGAAAAATTACAAAAATATTTAATACAACAATAATTGAACATATATTAAAATTTCGAATAGAACCTAACTGTATTCATTTTCCTACGATTAGAGCATATTTGATCTATGTATATTTTTCACTGCATTAAATATCTTAAATAACTATTTTAGAGTTAATGTTAAAGAAATATGGTTCACTTAGTTACAATCTTGTATTGGTTAAAATGCTAAAGAAAGAAAGGCATGTCAATTATATTTTACTTGCTAGAATTTGTGCCTTGAATGAATGCAAGACCAACTTGAAAATGACATTTTAACTCTCCCTCTGTTTCCTAAAATGAAGATTTTGGTGCTGGTAAAATCTAATTTTTTAATAATTGCTTAGATAATATTTTGTAACTTCCTTGGTGGTTTTTAATGTTACAGTAATAAACTTTTTCAGCTTTATTATTGGTAACAATCTAAGTTTTAGTGCAACTTTGTTTTGAAATACTTGAGTGAAACATAATATATTTTTAAGGCTGTTTTTCAAAGGCTCCATTGTAACATGAAATTATGTTTTATTGTGAACAATTAGTTATCTTTGCAACTGATACTCATGACTGTTTAGCCTATCTAAAGCCAACGCTGTCTACGCTTATTTAAAAAATTTCACAAAATGTCGATATGGTGAAAAACCTCAGTTTTGTAAGAATGAAAAGCGTTTGGGGTCTAATTTTTCAATATTCAAAAACCTCCTACAATGCTTCATTACCTCTGCACATAAAAATTAGCAAAAACTGAGATTAAGGCAGTGATTTTGATAATTTTCATCTAGGTGGAAAAATGTCGCCAAATCATCAATTTTTAAAAAAGTTTAATATCTTTTAAAATATTTAAGTTATTTGTCCATTCTAAAGCCCCGATAATTCTCTTCTTGACAAGATTATATACATAGTTTAAAATCATCACATTGCTTCAAGTGTAAGGCACTTAAATTATGGCCTTTTTTCCCTTGGCAACAGAGCTTTGAAAAACAGCGTTAAAGATAACCTAATAACATGTATTGTTAAAAATTCTGAGTATTTTTGAAACATAAGGATTAAAAGTTCTGTTTGCTTATTTTTATTTAATTGGAAAAGGTTTAATTTTTAATTATTTAAGAAATTTAACTATTAAATAACTTTTTCATTTCATATGCTAAGAAAATGTTCCAACAAATTTCTTTTGTTATATAATAGCAGTTAAAGGATTAGTAGGAAGAAAGTCCTTTTAAAATATAGAATCAAAAATTAATGTTCTGTAATCAAAGAAGTATACTACTATTACAGTAATAATAATGCACTATAATATCAAAATATGCTAGAACATTAATTTTACAGGTATTTCAGAATATCATTTGGCACATTCTTCCATTAATAACTTTAATTGCATAATATATATGTTGTGTATATGACGCCTAAGAATATATAATTTTTGTTAATGTATATTTTCAGAAAAATCATATTTTACATTTTATTCTACTTTTTAACTTAATGTTTTAAACTTAAGTTTCTTTTTCTGCCCGTCTACATTTTTATCGCTGTATTTTTTTTTTTCTTTCTGAGAGACTATGCTTTAGAAAGGTTTGACAATAAAATGATTTAGTAATAGGCAATTAATGAGAAATTGTTTTGAAAGTTACGCACCTGTATATACATAACTGCTTGTGAATGCAATTATCTGTAATTAGTGTAAATGCTTTTGTAAAGTTATATAGGAATGGCATGAAAAAAAACGGCAGTTATTTGAAACTGTTGTTTAAGCTCAAAGTATTTTTGATCTTAATCCTTTTTGTTTAAGTTTATTAATCACTTGTGAGTACTATTCATGGTTATAAAAATTTGTGATAGGCTATTTTTATAATTAATGAAAAATCTGTTAAGAATATTTTCTTTTTTAAAACTCTGACATTTACAAAGATGGGCATATTTTCAAGTATTTTACCCCTATGCATGATTCCCCTGTATGTTGACATAAGAACTGGTCGGCTATGCAGGGGATGCTGCAGGTCTGAAAATAGATCAGTAGGTCAGAGAATTGAAAACAAATTAAGGTTCTTTTAAACAAAATTTGTCTTGAATATAGTTTTACATAAAGCTCATACTTGTTTTTTTTTTTTTAAATTTTCTGTTTAAGTTAGTTTTATATAAACAGATTTTTAATATTTCTTTATTTTGAAACTAAATACAAGGTGGAACTATTTATTTTGGTGCTATAATGAGTATATCGTAACTTTTTGTGAATTTAGCAACGATGAACGTGTTAGAGTTTTTAAAGCAGATTCAATAACAGTTTTTAACAAAATATTAAAAATGATAGCGTGGTTTCTGTCCTTTGTTTATTATAAAGTAATTGTTATGTCAATTTTTTCTTTATTTTATCCATTTAGATTTATTTATGGGTTAATATCTGTTAATGATGAGAATTGAAAAACTGTACTAATTTAGTTACTATGTGTTCAAAAAATGGTTGACAGTTTGAAAAATCTATTAAAGAAAATGGAAAAGAAATTCACAGTTTGCCGTATTCTTAGGAAATCAGATACTCTCATCAAATTAAAATAAAAACAAAACAGTAAAATTTTCAGTCTACAGATGGTGCTGTTGATTGGATAGACCTTTTTTTACTAATTAATGTTGCATGTTAGACCATTTGAACTGAAATATATGCATAGGTGTTCAACATTTTGCTTATGGACTGCACAACATGATTGTTGTCAAAGTCTAATTTTGAAATGATTGTTTTAAAATTTTACTGTTAGCAGCGTTGTATATTGACGAACATTTTAACTTATTTTTCTTGTTTTGAATGAATTTGTAGTTTCATAATCAAGACACAGTAAACTGTGCATTTCTATTCCCTTCTGTTTTTCTTTAATATACAGCCTAATTTTTTGGCACTAGTATTTACGAAAGGCATACCTGTATTTCTTAATATTTTTTTATTTCTGACACATAATTAAGCAGTCAGAAAAATATTTTGTTATTAAAAAATTTTAGATTTTTTTTTTTTAATTTTTGATGTTTAACAAATTTTAGTTCCAGCTAAGTGATGTGATTGCTACACCAAATGCATAAAATAATTAAAATGCAATTTTCACGACTGGTTAGAGTGAGCTATATTTTTATAATTTTTAGAACATTAAATGATGAATCTACATTATGCTAGATATAAATGTTTAAAGTATGCTAGAATTTTTTTTAATTACAACTCGCCACTTATATGCGATTAATTTTTAAAAAAATTCTTTTTTCCAGAAATTTAAACAGAAAGTAAGAAAAAAAGGAGTAATATATAATTAATTATGGCTATTGAATTTATATCAAAGATCTTTGAAATATCTCTATTATTTGCATGGTTTTATTAATTTCAAATTTGTAAGTTGCCTTTCAAGGTATGTAATCCACTAATTTTTATTTTTAACTATATGACCCGGAATGCAAACTGCTCCGTTTTCTGCAAAAGTTCTAATAAATTGGTAGCAAATTAAATATTAAAACTTGTAGAATAAGGATAATTATGAATCCTCTTTAAAAGTGTCACCAAGAGATAAGAGCTATAAAGTTGCATTTCATAAAATAAAAATATATAAATTTAAAAATAACTTGTTACCACTAAAAAATATCTTTTTTACAAAGGGGAGCAAATTGGCATCTCCGTATGACTAGTGTAAAAATGGCTCTTATTTTATATAATTTGTTGTAAATGTTAATGTAATCCTTGTTTCAAAAAATTATTACTTGCTAACAATGAAAGAAAAATAAATGAATTGGTTCCAAAAACCGAATAATTGCTATGATCCATTTATCTGACTTATTTGAACCATTGTTGGAAGTTAAAGATTTTCATTTAATTTCAAATAAGTGTCACAATTCATTTTAAATGTTAATTTATTTTGTAAATCATTTGCATTTTTATATGTGTTTGCCATTTCTTGTCATACTATTGAATACTGTCAAAATATATGTTATTTTAAAGTTCACGTTTGAATGTGTTTTGTACTAAAAATGTATTAATAAAACTAATAAAAAAAATGTAGGTTCTTTTTTGTTTTTATTTGATTGAGACAGACATATTGCATCAAATTTCAAATACTAAATCATGATTTTAGTTTCTACCTTCACTGTACTTTATATGTAAAAAATTATGTAGCCATAATTTATTATACTTGATAATGTAAAAATTACATTTGCTTCAAGAATTATAAAGGTGAAAAAAATTGACATGTTTTGAGCATTCAAAAATGGTGCCCATTCTCTAGACTCTTCAGACGTGAGTGATTAAGAGCAAAAAGATTTGAAACAGAAAATGTTAAGTTGCCACGAAAAAATTAGTAAAGGCGAAAAAAAAAAATTGGAAAACCGCTGAGAGAGAGAAGTTAGTGCAGGCTACATTTCCAAGCACTATGTAGAGTTCGTGAGGAACTCGTGTCATTAACTAGAGGATTATTTATGTAACTGAAACAAGATCCCATGACTTCAATATGATCTGATGTGACAAGGTTGAAAAGAATTTTGACATAGTCGAAGTTCCAACGATCTGTCATTTATCGAATTCTTGATGACAGATATAACTATCATGTTTCTTAAATCTAAATTTTGAAGTGCGTCTGATTTACCCAATTTAGAAAATATTGCATTAGTTAATAATTTTTTGTAAATAATAAAATTTAATATTAATTCAATCATTGTTATGGCTTACATTATTATCCTATATACTTACGTTTATAATGCAGAATTTTTGTTTTAAGAATGATTTAACATTAAATTTGATATAATACTATCAGAGATGCCAACTGCTCCGGACATGCCGAAATAATTAAAATAACGGTAAATAACTACATACTAAAGTTTGCAAATATTTGACTATTTTTTTGCTTTTTAAAAGGTTTAGCATTAGAATACTACATTAAAGTGGTAAATTATATAAATCTGTGAATTATTTAGAAATAGTGGTAGATAAAAATCTACAAAATTGAATTTATTAAACTAAGAACCACAATTGATAAACTACCACTTTAAAATATCTATTTGTTGTCCGGAGCAAGTTGGCATCTCTGTACTATTATGCAATCTTAAGAGATCAAGATTCTAGAGTTGATTATTTATAAATAAAAAAAAAAGACTTAATATAATTTGTCTTAATTTTTTTGTAAGTATAAAAAACATTGTTTTTTAAGTAATGCAATAACCTAACTAATTTCATACGCTGCCAGGATTTTCTGGTAAACTATCTTTTTAGTAAATATTCGATTTCGACTGTTTATCCTGGTTTCATCAAATCTAGTTTTTAAAAAATTCCTTCAAATTGGTCCCTGAAAATAACTCTCATCAAAAACTTGGTTATTTGAACTGTACACCTGAAATTAAATCTAGTAATATAATTAAATAATGAAACGAGACTTAAATACATAAAGTAAATAGTTTTTAAAAAAAAAAAATATCTTTGAAACTTGAAATCGGGCTTTTTCAATTTTTATCTATTTTGTAACTATTTGAAAAATATTTAATCATTAAAACTTATATATGTTATTCTAAACTATGATCTAGCTGTCTAAAAATAATTTAATTTCTTTTCTATTCAAAATAGCGAATATAGTAAATTATTTTTCGTGTTTTATTTTCTTTTAATTATATAATTTTCTAAGCGATAAAAATATTCAGATACATCTCTTCGTTTCGCGTGAGAATTAAGTGCCAAAACGCATTTCATTTTTTGTAAAAGAATGTATATATTTTTATTTGTCGGTTAGCATTTGTGACGTCTTGTTTTAGAGGGCTTAATCCATAAATGTCTGAGTTAAAATTTCTTGCGGAGGATTTTAAAATTGATCTACCCTCAAAGACGTAAAAAAGAAATTGTGTAGAGGCAAAGTGAGGTGTTAATAGAATTTGGTCCGTAATATCTGCCCTTAAATATATATGTTTGCGCAGCACGATATGCTAACGTAAACCACGAAATTTCGAAAGCTTCACAGTTTTTATCACAAGCTAAAGCTTGTCGAAATTTTAAAATTATTGTTGATGGAACATAACTCAGATCGTTTCTATGTATGACTTTTGAAACAGCGAGTGAATAAAGGAAACAAAATGATGACTTAGCTAATGGACGAAAAAGTGAATCAGTTTCAGTTTAGGTATAAATGAACCTATTATTTATGCTACGGCAGACGACCAGTGAAATAAAAAGAAATGAATAAATAAATTAGAATCTACTGTTTAAATTTAAATGCCAGCTATAGAAGCATTTAATAATATTGAATAAGTGTATTATCAAAATAAACACTTTAAATGTGTTTAAGTGCTTATATTTTTTAAAATAATTTAAAGTTGGTAGCTGACTTATTAAATAAGGTTAATTCCCCCCCCCCCCTTGTTTTCTTTTCCAAAAGTCTGAAACACTGAAAAACCTAAACTAAGTTATACAAAGATACTTTCATTTCATTATTTATACTATGAGGCTTCCTTCACCCAGTGCCGGATTACCCAGTAGGCCAGACTAGGCTCTGCGGCCCCCTTAGAATGGATTTTTTGAAAATATATTTAAAAAAATTTAGAGAAAACAATTTTAAAAAAAAATTCAATTTCAAATATATATGTTATGATTATAAAATTTTATGATTATTTTTTAGTTCAAATTTAGCAAAATAAAATAAAATTCAATTCATTATTATTTATTTTAATTTTAAATATGCTTTCTTAAATGAAAAGATCTATAAATACTTTTATACTTGAATAAATAAAAATATACGAGAAAAAAAAATTTAAACTAAGGGCCCCAAAAAATTGAATGGCCTATTGCCCCGCCTACGTTTAATCCGGCACTGCCTTCGCCTAACTCCTTGTGTGCTCTGATTCACCTTTAGTTTTTTTTTCCTTAAAAGTCAATATTTAAAAAAAAAAAAAGAAAAAAAACGTTTATTAAGTACAAATAATTATTTAATTTTATGTAAGAACAATGTAATCGTAACGAAATGTATGATTATTTGGATTTGAGAAAAAAAATCAAATGCACTTGGAAAAAAAATTAACCTAAGGAAAGCAGGTTGTCTGATTTACGAAGCAATAAACGAGAAGTAATTTAAGTTGTTAAGGAGAGGTTCAAATAGAGAACAGTTTTTATTCTACTAGTATTAAGCATTTTTTTTATTTTTAAAAACATCTATATGAAGGGTAAGATTTATGTCTGATAACATCTAATCTATCACTTTTTCTCTTTTTATGCTATTTTTGGCATCAATTCAAGCGCGAGCTTATAAAATAAAGATCTCGAAAGAAATTCTTCGACAATAGATAAATGATCAATATTTGAAGAAAAACCGAAGAAAAATTCACGAAAGAATCATTTGAAATTTCAGAGACTTCCAAATTGAAATTTCGAAGAAAACTCAAGCTAAGTTCAAAAATTAAAATAGTTCTTTCATCACGTCAAATTTCGATTCTGTAATTGCATTTATGCGGATTGTAGAGTGCCCAAGTACCCAAGGGTCTTTGAGAATCTTAATTTTTATATATTGTATTAAAAAATAAAATAAGAGCGAAAATATTGCATTCTATATATTTTTTTAAATAATCTCGTGTAAGAAGTGTGAATTTTTTTTCTTCTATAAATCGGGATCGATTATCATGTAAACACCAATAATTTGAATAGTTTATCACCATGAGAACTTAAAAAGTCAACCGAAATCTATTTTTCCACTTAAAAGGAAGTTTTGAGGTACTCAACTAGTTTCTCTAGATATGCTTGACCACCACCAACTTCGTTTAGTATTTATAATTAGTTAAATAAAGTAGTAATTGAAAGAGTTTAGACTTACACATCACTATGGGACAGCAACTTTTATATTGGTTATGTCTTATGTGCATTGAAAGATGTTTTAAAAACTGACTTTAATAGTGTGTCGAAATAATTCATACCTTTTGAATTTTTTTATTTGTTAAACACTTATGTTTTTTTTTTAAATGTAATTATTTTAATTAGCTTCTTGGTTTTGAAAATTATTTTATTATTTGAGGATTGCAATTGATTAACATCTCAGTTTTTTAAAAAATTATACATAGTTTAAAAATGATTTACTTCATGTGCATCGAGTTTTTGGGGTGACAAAAATGCGTTTAAGTTTGTTAAAATTATCACACATCGTAAAAATGCTTTAATGTACTGTATGCGTAGCTTTTTAGTTCGATTTTAAACAGTTATGACATGTTATAGGGGCCAAAACATTTCTGAGCCCGGTGGTCCTGCTTGCTTTCAAGACTTGCTTGAAGAAAAAAAATACCATGCTGCCTCTTCAAACCGTATAACTGTAACCACAGAGATAAAATTTGACGTGCTGAAAAATCCATTTATAGTTTTGAACTCTACAAGATTTTTTTTCGAAATAGCCTTTTCGAAAATTATTGCTATCTAAAGTGCTTTTTTTTTTTCTTTTTCGATTTTTCCCCTCTTATTTTATGCTTTTCGTTGCACGTCGTTTGTTATCCAAAATTAATAAAACTTAGAAACTTGAAATTATGCAGTAAAATCTGAGTACAATGGGAAAATACCATATTTTTGGTAAAAATTAGATTGAATTTTAACGTTACAAGGGACAATTGCGGAAAATTAATTTCATCCCTGAATTAATAACTTCTTTAAGAGTCATTTTTTAATACGATGTCAGGTTCTATTTTATTCTAAAATGATACTAGAAATTTCATGTTTGAATTGAAAATTAGACTGAATTTTAACCTAAGAGCACTTTAGAAATCTAACTTAATCACCATTTTCAACCCGAAACCTATATTTTTAGAGATAAATATATTTTTTGCGAGTCCTTCTTTAACGGCACATAAAAAAGTTTAAATGTATAAGGGATATGTGTGTAGTATTTAAAATATTTTATATATTATGGTAATAAATACAGAAAGTTGAATATAAATTAGTAAAATAAAATCTGTCATTTTTTCAAAAATTTTTGATTAATTTATTTTTGTCATCATGCAAAGATGCAACTTTATTTTTTGAATCAAACAGAATTCGTTATTACATTAGTCGAAAGTTGC